TTTGTGGCCTCAGAGGCCAACACTGCAGACGTCTTCACCAAGGCCCTGGCGCTTGGTGACCACCACAGGTTCTGTGTGCAGTTGGGGCTTGTTGAGGTAGGCCCTCGGTTGCTGTAGACTTGCTGTTTGCTCTGCTTGTTGTGCTTTGCTATATATATCCTAGTGAACTCTTGAACTGGCCTTGTGGCCGCTTACTTGTGCTCGGAATTTGTGTGGTGTCCTTGAGATCCACCCTGAGCTTGCTTTGCTTCTTGCATTGACTGGTCTTGTGACCGTTTGTTCACCCTGCTTGCTTTGATGCCCCTCACTTAGCCTATGGGGGTGTGTCAAATGTTATTATAGGTTCTTAGGCTACAGTTAGTAGCACTCTAGGGAGTACAACACTTTTAGGGTTGCTATTTGTATCCCTTGTTTCCCTAGTTCACACATTCCGTTGTTCGCTAACTTTGAGACTCTCCCACCTTCTAAATAAGGTGCCCTTATACGTAGGCGAGTCTTGCAGTAGCGTGAAAACTGCAGATCTCGGTCGAAACTGATCTGACGGCGCGGAAGCATGTTGACTTTCGAGTTGACGCGAGGCTGACCAGTTGACTTGGCGAATTTGAAAAGAGTTGGAAGGTCAGCCATCGATCCTGATCGAATGGTTGTCGTTAAACTGTCGAACTGAACTCCGCGGATGAATGGGAGTCGTTGGTGCCGCGGATGTAAATCGGACGGTATGAACGCTGGCGAAGTTGGCGGGATTCTGACACGGTGTCAGATGTCGGTCAATCGTAAACCGTTGATGTTGATAAAACCATCGCGACCGTCCGTCATGCTGAGTTTGTCAGGCGAAGCTGTCAGGAACTGACAAGGGAATACAGTGCGATAGCACTCTCTCCCCCCCCCTTTGAAAATACTGCCCACCAAAAGTCTGCACAGCTGCACGGGCACGAAATTACAAATCACCCTGTACGCCGGGTGTAGGAAATCATACCGAGTGTATGAACCCCATTGAAATGTTAGCGGCTGCACAGTCGAGAACGTTGTCGGTGGTGAAATACCGCTGCTGAAAACACTGAAAAATACTCTGGTAAACTTTGTCGAAGCCCATCGAAGGATTTCCGCACTGATAAAAACCTTCGTGTTGTCCTTTTCTTGCGACTGCTGCAGCAGCATCCCCGGCTGGCAGCATCTGCAGTCCGAAATCCCGTTTGTTGTCTCGTTGCAGTGGCAGGATCAAATTCTTCGATTGCTGCAGCATCTCCAGCTGTCAGCAGCTGCAACCCAAATCAAACTTTGTCGCTGGCGTAAACTTGTTGGCCACCTTGTCGCTAGTAGAGAAATCCCGAACCAGTCCAATTTTCCATCAGTCGTGACTCCGGATCGTTTAAGTTCATCGTCGAAGTCTACGCGAAAATTACGAAGTCGTTGTAGCGCATCAGCGACACTCGACGAAAATGGCGGATCAAGTAACTGACTTCAGGGAGACTGTCAAACTCCGTCGGAAACCCAAACTCAGGTGCATGATGATGTCAGCACCCCCGGCTACTTTGTCCTAACTCGCCGAGGACTTTGTCGCCTTTCTCCGAAAACTCCCGGGCAGAGGCGAAAAACAGCTGCTGCTCCTCCCCCTGACCTCGCAAATGTTTTTTCGAAGTTCAACTCGAACTGCCGATGACGTCAGCTGCCTCGGCGACGTTGTCGTTACTCGCCGAGAATTTCGGGGCAGAGGCGAAAAAGCTGTCCTTCCTTCCCCCACCTGTTGCGATACATTTTACCGGTGTTGCGGCTGGTACCCCTGACACTCTGCAGGTTTTGCCGCCATGAAGCTCACCACGGCAGTTTTCGCGCGCTTAACCCAGCGCCGCTGCAACTCCGCCGTTTCACGAAATTGTCGGTCGTCTGCCGAACTCTTGTAAAACCGATACTCGAACTCTCCGTAAATGTCGGTGTCGAAAAACACTTGTACGTCTTGGTCACCTGCAGGTTATCCCTGTGAAGAACCGGTGTGTCTAGCGTGCCCACCCGTCGCCATTTTTATTTCCTGCGATTAACCACACTAGCCACCCACCAACAGGAGGTGCTTCTTGTGCGGAACCCAGAACTATGGGTCTACCGGGACCGAAATTCACGGAACCTAGCCCGCATCAACGCCGCAGATCTCGCCGTAGAATCTCCCCAGATGGCTTCGAAGTACACCGTAAACGCTGAAATCACCTGGCGAGCAGACGTTCACCCGTCTCCCACCGTAGAAATGTAGCCCTGAAAATCATGGTTGTTGAAGCAGTCCCGAAGTATTTTCCGCCGCATAACCCCGACGTTTCCGCCGTTGACCCTGGTACTCCGACGTTCACCCGTCTTCGTACTCGTCGAAATGACTTAGCGAATCCCAGGTATCCTTGGCGATACACCGCTCGCCGCGCCTCCATGTAACAATATCAAACCCTTTCGGGGGTCTACCGAATAGACTCCGAAATTCGCGGTGGATTGGTGTATGGGCTCAACCTTTCACTCTGGAGATCTGCTGGAGCACCCACAAATTTCCCTCCATTTGTTTTTTTGTCTTCACCCCCCGACAATTTTGCTTGCCGCCGTTCACCCAGCGTCCGCTTTTGTCGGATGAGGTTTATCTCCGTGTTGCCCGTGATTTTTCTGACATTCGGTGAAGGCGCGAACGCTATCGTAGCCGGGTCATGTTTATCGGATCAAACAGTCGGACCGGCCGCTTCGTTGCCCACCGCGTCTATCGCATTTAAAACTCCTCAGCTTCGGAAAGCCCCTTCTTCGCCGCTACACCATGTCGGGTAGACCGTTGAATTAGGAGAAACTCCGACAGCTGCACCAACTGCTTCAGCTCCGACTTTTTCGGCGGGGTAACTGCTGCCGATGGTCCGGTTTTGTCGGGGCCGAAACAGTGTCGCTCCCAGAAATTTTCTTGTACGCCCAGCTGTCGAACTGGCGCAATACCCGCGCTTTTTAGCCAGTACAGGGCTAAACACAGGGCCCCACCTTTGGATCCAGTGGCCAATAGGACTTACACCTTGCCTTCGAGGCCTTCTGGGCGTGAGGTATGTGAAACGTCGGTAGACTTTGGCCGGTAGGGAGCTCCTTCTGCTACCGCCGCTTAGCCGCAAAACTCGGCCCTCAGCAAAAAGTCGTCGCAGTAGGTCGTTTTCGCCCCTCCTGAAGCTCGGAATCCGTTTCTCTCGCCAGACCCGTATTTGTCGCAACTCCGTTTATTGTGACCGGTAGACCAGGCGAAATTCGCGGGTCTAGACGCTGCGATAAACCGTTGTCCCGTCGGTGTACTGCCCTGTCTGCGGCGCAACTTCCCTTGATCAGGGGGAACCTGTGCCGCCTGAAGTACAGTGTCGGCTGCTGCTGTTGTTCCGAAAAATTCGGCCGACCTTGTTGCAGGCGCAGAAGTGACCCTAACGTAGACAGTCTAGTCGTAGGCGGCCTTTTCCTAACTTTTCGGCGGTTCGAAAATAACTTCCGTCCCACACTGTGCCGCACCTGCCGAAAACGCCAACGACGCACCCTCCTGCAGCCACACCGGCCACACCCGGGCGGAACGACGGTAGACCCCCGCTTTCTTCGGGCAGTCGTCACGCCGTCTCTCCTCGCCGTTTGCGTTTTCCGACGCAAATCACCATGCGCCTGGCCTGCCCGGCCAGCTGTCGTTTCACACGTGAAGCCACCCGAAATCTTCGCGCACAGTGACGACGTTCACCACGTGCCGAAGACCTCCGAGAATCTCGCGCGCAACATGACGATAACGCCTGACGCCACGTGCCGCACACATTAACTCCCGATTTTGTCGAGCGCAGTTGACGACCACGTGCCGACGCAACTCGCACGACGGTCGTCTCCGTCAATCTCGGACGTGCAGTGGCGACGTTTCCTTCGACGCCAGCTGCCACACAGAGTTAACTCCGAAATTGACGAAAACGCCATGCAACTGACTTACGCATTAAATGCGACGACAGCAAAAGCTGTCCGCCACCCAGGGGGAGGGAGGCCACGGTCCATCTCGACCGTCGAGGGCAAGGATCCGTCGGTGCCGCAGGAGCGCCTTGAAATTCATGGCCGCTAGGAGCAACTACCCGTTCTCCTGGCCGGCTCTTGCGCTGCTCCTGTCACCACGACATCCTTCCCTTTCCCCCCCCCCCGAGGGGTAATACACTCTAAAAAACGGGGAACCTAGGAACTTAGGCTCTGATACCAAGTGTTATGAGTTTTACTAAACAGAGTGCGCGGAAGACTTCTATAAAGAGAACGTGATTACAGAATGTCCAGAATGATAAAGAGGCATGCATTTATAGGGTCGAAACCGTGGTAGGCGAGGACCTCGGGACGTGGATGGGTTGGAAGTGTCGCGATTGGTGCGAGGCGACTCGGCAGTGGTTCGGTCCGAAGTGTAGGCCGAACCTCGAAACTGACGCGAAATGCTCGGGGTTGTCCTCGCTAGGAGCAGCCTCTACAGTAATGAATTCATATTCATTACATTGAGGGTTGTGGTGTTCGGAACGTTGTAACGGCGGTTCATAAGAAACATACAAAACGTCATAGCTTACAGTGCAAGGCACAAAGAGAATCAGCTAGCCTTGCCATCAGTTTAGGACTAACGCAATGCTAGACTGCCCAAGAGATCCATCACAAGCATACTGCAGTTGACCCATAATAACAAATAAAGTAAAATCCCTAAACCTAACCCGATTAACCTTACTAATAAAAGCCTGACATCCCTCATTCACAGCGCAACCCCACGACACACAGTCTGCTTACTCTTCCACCGTTTCCCCTCACCATTTCACTGTCAATCCTATCGACCCGCTCGCAATGACTTCCTCTACAGCTGCATGCCTCTTGAGAACTCAGAATGGCCATAAGAATTTCTAGTCCACCATCCTGCAGCGCACCTGAGCCAGCAAATAGCTCGGCCACCGGCTGATGAAATAAGTGAACAAGGATGAAGAGAAGGTATGGATGGTCATGGTGGCAAGGTACCCTGTGGCTTAACTGATAACACATTTTCCGCTCTTCTTCTTCGCCTTCGTCGCCTTTGGCGGCTGCAACACCACCTTGATTGCCGTGTCAAAGACAGCCTTCACATTCTGCATGGGTGTGATAACAGGTCCAAACATGGCAAAGATCAGAAATGCCATTACATTCAAGCTTGCGTCTGCGCATGTTCAACACGAGGCAGCTCATGACCAATTCCCCTCCTCATGGTTTTCCAGTCCAGCACTGAAGGTTACTAAAAAAGGGCTTACCAGCCCTATCATGTGCTGGGAACAGACTACCAAGCAACACCAACAAAGAAATGACAGGAACCCATAAGAAATATGTGGCAATGAAAAACGCCCTGCTTGGACAAACGAAACGAGGCTGAAGGAATAAATAGATATAGACAGAAATTCGCCTTGACGAACCTGCTGCGTCTTCGAGCTGCACTCAATGTAAGCTGCTGCACCAATCACCTTCTTCAGCTCCTCGCCCTGAAACCGCAGATAAGATAAACAACAATAAGCAATGGGCCCTTGACAAAACAGGCGTAACAACATGAAGCTATTTCCGCCTGTATATCCTGGCGCAAGGATGCAAGAGAACCGCGGTACCTGAGCAGTGCTGATCGGCGTTGCATCTGGGTGCTCTTTGAAAAATTGTGAATCATCTCGTAAATCTGTACCCAACGGAAAACATGAAAGTGGTCAGGGAAGGGAAGAAAATTGGTTGATGTCAGGCAGTGAGGCAAAGAATATATGAACAACCTGCCTCTCCAACCCAACAACAGCCAAGGAAGCTGACGCGAATGTCACCAGACCTAGCTGATCAGTTGAGCAAATCAAGCTTGACAAGCTGACCTAGCTTTGTGCCGACGAGGACAATCGGAACGGTCGCAGCGTAATGCCTCAATTCTGGTATCCACTGCTCAACAGTCAAACAGTAGGGAAGAAATCGGAGAGATGAGGTTATGTCGGTCGGCTATGTTTGCGCTTCGGAATAGATCGGCCCAATAACCTATGTTCGCAGGCGGCATGGTGTAGCTTCACAACCATATGTGGTGAGTGTACGACGGCAAAAAATGAACGAAACACGGCCGCATTGCTACGACAAATATCTCCGACTTCCTTCCCGCAGGGCTTGTCGGCCACCAGGAAAGCACAGGGGCATGGCACGTATGCAACATAAACCTGGTAACTATCTCTCGCAGGTTGCGTTTCTTGCATTTTCTAGGCGGAAGACAAAAGACCCACCTTCTTCGAGACGTTCTCATAACTAGCTTTGCTGATAAGAGAGAACGCAAGAAGGAAGACGTCAGCACCTCTGTAGCTCAGAGGGCGTAGTCTATTATAGTCTTCTTGACCTGTTGACATGGGAAACAATGAGGATAAGGTCAAGTATGAACAACACGGAAGCGATTCTATTTAACGAACCGTCACGAGTACATCTGGTTGCAGTAGATCGGACCAGTTACGATACGAAAGCATCCAAGATGCAAGTGCGTAGGAAACCAGCCGTGAAAAGAAAAGTAATAACAAAAACAAAATTTCCGCCGGAGCCTGAATGAAAAGAGCAGTGCCAAATGGTCACTAACGAAGACGGGCCTAACGGCAGCTAGGGACGCAGTACCTAATAATCTCTAGGGACTGTGGACTAACCTGCTGTATCCCAGAGTCCCAAGTTGACAGTTTGGCCATCCACCACCACATTGGCACTGAAGTTGTCAAAGACGGTAGGAACGTAATCCTGCACCAGCGATAACCATCACAAATCGACTCAATGTTCGCCAAGCTGAGCGGCCACTAAGAAAAATGTCGAAGACTTCGGAAACAATCTTACGCATGCTAAATGTTAGCTAATACAGCTCGCTAGACGTCGGTCAGCTCGGCTGACTTACAGTAGGAAAGGTGTTGCTCGTGTAGGAGATCAGCATGCACGTTTTACCGACCGCACCATCCCCTACAGTAACGCATTTGATAAACTTATTCGCTGTACTCATTTTCGACTCCTCCTGCGTCCCTGTCTACCAAGCAGGGAGGCAAGCGAAGCAGACTAACGTTCTGTCTTAAGCTCAGTTCACGAACTCCCTGCTTCCTCCCCGTCCTGAACGGATCAGAAAACCTAACAACCGACCTTCCTATCTTGCTGCTGGCTACAGGTGTGAGAGCGGTGAGGGGAATGTTGCTTGTGAGGATTGTTCAGAGCGGAGAGGGGAGGAGAGGGACATAAACGAGAGTGGAGCGGGGAAGGAGAGGGATATAAGCGGGGGACTAGAGCGAGGGCAGAAACCAAACCAAACGAAACCCTGACGGATCGAGGCAAGTGAGGCGCGAAGGAGTGAAAAAATGGTAGTTGGGGGAGTGCTGCTTGGCCTTTTCCGTGACGTGCGACGTAGACGTATGGGGAAGCTCGCACATGCGACGGGCTTGAGCTCTGTTTCATGGTCGCACGGACCATTCTGATGGGGCATGAGGTTACCAGAAGGTGGAGATTGAGCGGCCAGCGAAAAGTGCGAATAATCGACTGAGGTCGCTGAGCTCGCAAACAAAGAATTCTCGGTATAGGGTGATTTTACATTACAAGGGAGATGTCAACAACTTGGTTTGTGTATTTCTTATGAGATTTTATTTTCGTTGTTAAGCTCCTCCATCCATCTCATTACTAAAATGAACAACGGTTAGTAGCACACTCAGTTATTTGTCATACTGGATTACGCAACATGAAAATACTGTTAACCAGGCTCGATAAATCATGAATTGCTTTTGAAACGCTGTATTTTTTTTTCCTGAAACGCTGATTCGAATCTAGTGTATCGAACCATTTCCTGTTGGTGAAATTGCATTGATTCTTGGGACTTGCCGAAATTTTCGCGAAAATTTTCCGCCATCAGCGTCAATCACGGGAAACGGAGTCGTCACTGTACTTGGCATCGCACTTGCTACGAAAATCTGCCAATCTGTCAATGGATTTGGCAGCTGCATAAAATTACATGGGGCACCCAATCACGTGCCCCGAACTCGCAAGTTTCCATAGCATCACGGTAATAAACCTTGCCGTTGGTGGTACGTGCAGTAAGCAGGGGGCACATTCAGTTTCTTGGATGGCCCAAGGGAGGCCACCGTTTCTGCATGTAGGGTTTCACCACGTGGTTCTCCCGTCTTCTTGTTCATCTCGCCGTCTCCACCCCATTCTTTCTAGGTTTGCTACTAGCTAACTCGGTAGACTCCCCTCAGTTTGTGCTTCAGCTCTTGTCTCACCACTACCGCCATGACAGGACCCGTCGAGGGGATTGTCGACGATGACGACCCTGACGACCTCAAAACATAAATTGATCGTATTGGTTTCGACCTCCTTTTGTGCTCGCTATCGAGAGCAGCAAACAGTCCGACGCGTAGCAAGGCTAAATCTTTGTCTGCGACACCCATTCACACCGTCACATCAGGACCCCCAGATTCGATTGGTGACCTTTCATGGCGAGCGCGATGCCAGTCCCAATTCCACCGTCGAATCACCCTGATGCGTTCTCGGCTTCTTTCCCGATTCCACCGTCAACTCGCCCCGATTCGCCCCGACTTTTCTCCCGATCCCACGGTCAACTCACCCTGACGGGTCACTGGCTTCTCGTCCGATTCCACCGGCAGGTACACCATCGGCGACTCCAGCTTCTCGCTGAAGCTCATCTGGAGTCGTCAACCATCTACGTCGTCGACGGTTTCTGCCGACGTCCCGCTGCCTCCCGTGCCCGAAGCTGCAGCCTCAAATGCGGCGACTGCGACAAACGAGGAGCTCTACGCTGTTGCTCTCGATCGCTTCAAGTCACGTTGGCAATGTGTCTCTGCCTGGTTGCAACTAACCAAAACCTTGAGCGGTCTGACCATGCAGGAGAGTCAGGCAAGTACGGCAGAGGCGGCACTGGAGCTGACGTACAAAAGGCAGGCCTTCAAACGTCGTGCCGCTACCAACAAGCACAAGCTTGCCATCCAGAGGCACAATGCACTCCTTGGAGCGACGAGGCAGCCACGGATTGGCGAGCACCCGTCCGCGCACGACGGCGAGAAAACACGAATTGTCGCTCTGTTGGATGCTCTCCTCTTCGTCACCTGGCAAGCAGCACCCATGGAGGCTAGGGTGAACTTGGTTCGGTACATGTCCAAGAGAGGGGTTGTCGGCTTTCCGAAGAAAGTATATGGGACTTACTACACTTCGTAAGTTACTCCTTTAACTGCTCTTGTTCACCCGTGTAATTTTAAAAGGCTTGTCACACCTACCTTTGGTTGTTCAAATTTCAGGGACGGCTTTGGCGAGCTGACGAGTCTACAGCAACGTGTCTGCAGACAACACAGCTCGAGCATATTCTCGCCAGTCTTTACATCGGTATACCGTATGACGAGAGCACCGTCCGCTGCAGAGGTAAACACATGATACTCTTTGCCATGTTCATCCGCGACTCACGGCTTGCAATCGAGTTCATGGGGCTGTTGAAAGTCGAGAAGGCGGATGCAGCGTCGTTGTTGGGGTTGATGTTGGCCCACTTGCAGTCGGATCGCGTGCAGGGCATCAGCACAGATGGGACTTCTCGGACGATGGGTCCGAAGTCGGGCTTGGTGGCACGCCTGCGTCTTCGCATTCCCCACCTCGTATCTTGCCATTGCATTGCCCACAGGTAAGTGGTTTTCTCTTTCGGCAACAAGTTATTTTGTTATATGGTGAACTATTTCATGATATATAATTTACTGTGTTCTTGTGTTGTGGTAGCAGTGAGGCCCCTGCAGCAAAGGATGCAGTAGAGAGCATGCCTGTCTTCAACATGATCGATAGCACCGTCGGTGATATAGCAGAGCATATGGGTCGATCTGGTCCATGGCATCATCGATCCATGGACCTGTAGGAGGTTTTAACCGTAACCTTTGTTTAACTTCAGGGCATTCACAACGTCCGATGCTATCACGTGGTGATGCCATCGCCGGGTTTGTGGCAGTTTTTCCTGCAATCCTCACAATGCTAAAGAAGTAGAATCTACAACTTTTACGATGTGGTGACAAGTTACAGGTTTCATTTTCTCCTCCTCTTCCTTGCCGCCGTGCTTGATTAGATTAACGTATTGACCAGGACATCACAGCAACGAGAGGTACAGTTTTTGTTTATAGGTATCGCCCCCCCCTTGTACCATAATGCATTCGTGTACCTTGTATTTCTTCCACTGACAGCCGTTTTTCTTTGCCTGTGCCTTTCCTCCATCTCAGCTTGATCTGTCTGCTGTTCATGAACAGTTTCGACGCACAACGAGCTATCTTGAGGCCCGTTACGTCAACTGCGGGAACGAGTTCGGAGGCTCGTTCAGTACACCGCTTTCACCATGGCTTGACAAGCATGGTCCTGCAGGCTTTCGGGATGTCTGCATCTACGGCGTCGACTTTGATGAACAGACCGACGACCTTCACATTCACTATGCATGAAGATCAACCGGATGGTTATTCAGTCTGCACCGAGTTCGCAGAGCTCTGTTGAAATATATTTCTTATATAAACTGCTTGTAGCAGTAGTTAGTGTAGTGTTACATTGGTGGTGCACCTCATTCCCTTGTCCCTTGCACTATATCTTGTATCTTGCTCATTAGTGAATCACCTTTCTCCTTTGCTCAACTATCTCGACACTCATGCTAGTAGCTTCCACCCTAACTATGGCTACTAAGTTCTAGCTACTGTTTTGACATGCTATCAGAGTGGTTACTTTCCTAGGACCTTTCTCAATGGGCCCACCGTTCGCTTCCGCTGCTGTTCTTTCAGTCGCGCGCCCCGGGGGCGTGACTATTTTCCTGCCTGTCGCGCGCCCCAGGCGCGCGACGTTTTCTGCCCACCACGCGCCCCGGGCGCGCGGCGATTTTTTGCTTGCTGCGCGCCCCGGGCGCGCGGCGGTTTTCTGCCCGTCGCGCGCCTCGGGTGCGCGACGGTTTGCTTACACCCGTGCGCCGCCCCGTGGCACCCGCGCGCCGCCCCGTGGCACCCGTGCGCCGCCCCGTGGCACCCGTGCGCCGCCCCGTGCACCCGCGCGCCGCCCCGTGCACCCGCGCGCCGCCCCGTGCACCCGCGCGCCGCCCCGTGCACCCGCGCGCCGCCCCTCTGTAGCCGCGGGGCATTTTCTTCCCCCGCCCCCCCCACTTCGCCTTCCTCTCCCTGCTGCGCATGCAACCGTGGGGGGGAGGGTATGGGGGTGGCGGGTGTGAGTAATCTGCTGCTCCTCCTCCTCCTCCTCCTCTCTCTCCCCACTGCTGCAACTGTCGCTGAGGGGGGGAGTTGTCAGAAAGAAGAAGTAGGAAGTAAGAATGAAGAAAGGAGGATGTTCACTAGCAAGCAGTTGGATACATATAGCAAACCCTAATTGGGCTGTACTCACTATGGAGTACCCCACTGCAGGCTAGACAATTATAACATTCTGACAGGAGTGTGTGGGGGAGCCGAGGGAGTGGCGCTAGGGATGCAAAAGGGGGTGTGAAAAGGGGGTGTGGGACAATGGGGGGAGGTTGAAAGGAGGTAGCCGCCATGAAGCCAGCAGCTCCAGTAGTCCGGATGCCGTTGCTCCGGTAGCCCGTGAGCCCGTTGCTCCAGTCGCTCGAGGGTCAGTTGCTCCAGCTGCTCGTCTAGCCGCAGAGCCAGTTACTCCAGTAGTTTGGAAGCCGTTGCTCCGGTATCCTGTGTGCCAGTTGCTCCAGTCGCCCGTGTGCCAGCAGCTTCAGCTGCCGCCTCCTACCTCCTCTCCTCTCATAGTCCCTCCTCCTCCTCACTTGCCCTCTCTTCTGCTGCGCTTGGTGTACCCCTTCAAGGGGTGTCTCTGCATTACCTTCCTGCTGCAAGCAGTTTTGGGGGTGTGTTGAAATATATTTCTTATATAAACTGCTTGTAGCAGTAGTTAGTGTAGTGTTACATTGGTGGTGCACCTCATTCCCTTGTCCCTTGCACTATATCTTGTATCTTGCTCATTATTGAATCACCTTTCTCCTTTGCTCAACTATCTCGACACTCATGCTAGTACCTTCAACCCTAGCTATGGCTACTAAGTTCTAGCTACTGTTTTGACAAGCTCAACGTTTCCAACCTTTTTGGTCGGTTGGGGGACTTAGACAAGCTGTCGGGTGTGCGGTTGTTCACTCCCAACAACTGGTCTCATGGCAGACATGTGCGCCAAGCAAACTTGAGCAGGCGCGGTTGGCTCTGGCTGGCGCTACTTTCAGGTTCCACATGTGCGCTAATTCCAAAGGGTCATACTATGACCCATTTATTATTGCAACATGCTGTAGTGTTTCTGGATTGCAAATTTGTGTTGCATGGGTAACCTTTGTTAAAAACAGGTGTCCACATTTGTCCTACATGGTTTTAGAAAATAATATTTTAAACCAGGCTTGCCAGTGCAAAAGTGTTGGTTGGCGAAAAATCAGAGTTTCGTGAGGATTTTTTTCCTCCGCAGTAACATATCGCTAGGATCTAGGGTTCCGGGAGTCAAATGTGGACTCTTGTCCTAAGAACAACCATTGAAATATAGTTATTTGTTTTTCATATTGTTTTCTTGTACCTGATGTTACAAGTGGGCACTCATGACCTCGTGTAGCTGAGACTCAGGTGCCAGCTTCATGTCGGGTTTCTGCTTCAGGGGTCTGTTGCTGTGTTGTCAGGTGAATCTTGAATAGCCGATACATACGGCGGCTAGCCCGTTTCCTATTTCCTATCACCTAGATATGACAGGCAACGCGTCGCATCACTGGTTTGATGACTCTTTCGGCTCCGGGCAGATCATGGAATCATGAAGTCAACGTTTTTCATTTCGATTGCCAAACATACTAAGAATGGCTGTTAACAGTGAAACCGAACCTCGGTTGTTGGTTTTTAGAGATCACACACCCTGTGTTTCGTCTCCCACTTAGCACAGGTCCGTGAAGTTTCGGTGTAAACAATACATTTTTTTCGTTCGGCACTCAGCAATCACATACAGAAGAAAGGGCAAGCCTGCCAGACACCAGACATTTGGCTATGCCTGATTTCTCGTCACCTTCCCCCAGCTTTTTCCGCATCGGGTTGGGTTCCGCACCGCTTCATTTCCCCGCGCGTAATTCATCTGCGCCACTACTACCTGCCCTGCCAGACTCCCACACAGTCACTCCTCACACGCACAGTTCCCCCACCACTTGTGGCGGAACAGTTGCCGATTGCCGACCTCCGAGACACGTAAAGTTCAAGAGACATACGAGCAGCGTCAGTCGCGGCAGACGTGCAGTCCCAAGCTTTCAGTTATCTCCTCTCATATGCGCTCGAAGGCGGAACGCCGGAACAGTCGGCACCGATACGGCTTGGTTCCAGACCATATGCTCCTTAGATCTAAACTTTCTTCGCACAGGAGACTATTACCAGCTTAGTTTCACGCGTTGTTGGATTTCAAAAATTCTTTTTGTATTACTTACCATTGTGTACTGTTACCGATCCAGTATGGCCGCGTTGGGCGGAGGATGGGCGGACGCCTTGCGCAAAGCGGCGCAGGTCAAGACGGAACAATGGCCGCCGTTTGAGTCGGCGTCCCCCAAGACCGAGTGCAAATGGCCGGCGACTGCTTTCCCCCTCACGCGCCCTTCAGCCTGCGCCGCTTCCGCGGCTTCTGCCTCTCCCGCGCACCCTCCGCACGCAGCTTCCGGGCAAGGCGCGCCGCTGGAGGCGAACACCGCTCCTGCCAAGGGGCACGATTTTCCGCCTTCCGCCAAGCACTCGCCGCCCGCTTCCCCGAATACTCCCCCGATTCCACGCGGCGGCGCTCACGCCGGCGTGCTTCCAGCACGCGGGAAGGCGGCGGCGCTGGGTGGAGGTTCCGCCATGCCCGCGCCGTCGCCGCAGGAGATGCGCGCACTTGAGGAGGCGAACGCGCTGCTGACTGCTCTCTTCGGGCCGGGCGCAGATCTCGCTGCTGTTAACGAAAGTCGTCGAAATCCGTCCGAGAAACGGTTTCCGTCGGCTGGCGGCGCTGAGCCGTCGCCACGACCGGCAAAACCCGGCGAGAAACCCGCGAAGCCGCATAACGAGCAGCGCTGTCAGTCCAAGGTCCCCGCGAGCCCGCGCCCGCCTTCCGCGCAAAGACGCTCCGCGGGCGGCGCGGCGAAAAAGAATCCCGCGGTCGGCGCGCAATCGCCGAGAGTAACGGCTCTTTCAACTCGGCCGGCTGATGCGCCGTTTTCTGCTGCGGAATTGCCAGCGCCGTCAAGTTTCTACGCCGGTCTCTCTTCCAGCGGCGCCGATAGCGCAAAAGGCGGAGGATCTCCGGTTGTTGCGCTGTTCGAGGGGGAGGTGACGTTCCCCGCGATCATGGCGGAGCTCTGGGCGCTCCAAGGCGGGCGCAGGGCGGACGGCGCAAAGGCAGCAGGCGCAGGCGCGGAGAAGCGTGGTGAGCGGCGTCAAGGCGTGAAGAAGGGGGAGCGGGCGGGGGAAACGGCGGCGCAAGGTGCGGGCGCAACGATGGCGCGGGGTCGGGGACAGGCGGAAGCGAACGGGCAGGTGGATGGGTCGCAAGCGGACAGCCCCCGGGAACCTGAGCTTGCGCCTTTCCCCGAATTTCGCGCGCTAAAAAGGAGCGGAGCAGACGGTTGCGCGTCGCGCGGCGCGGGGCTGGCTTCGCCCTCAAATGAGGCGGTGGCACTTGGCGTTGAGCGCGCACCGGTGGCCAATGCCACGTCACCAGTTGAAGCCGAAGCAACGGCGCTGCTCGATATGGTCACAAAGCTCCTGTCCTCCGACCAGAACGTGACTGTAAACGGGGGTGACTGTACCGAGACGATTAAGGGGACTGTAGAAAAGTTTAAGCAGGAGCTTCTGACGAAGCTTCCTGGGCGAGATGTGGGGGAGGTGGCGGGCGGGGGACAAGGGGAAGGGGGGCCCGGCACGGGGGGGGATGGGGGGAAACGCGGGATCGCGATTGCACGGATGGCGCCGGTAAAGCTGGAACATGGGGAAGAGGAGGGCGTGGGTGAAGGCCGAAGCGCGCGAGAGGGAGAAGAGCCGCAACAAGCCTTCCAGCCGCCTTTCCAGCCACCTTTCCAGCCGCCTTTCCAGCAGCCTTTCTTGTTCACAGGGAACAACCAGTCTCGAGAACTGAGTGCCGCCCCGGATACTGTTCACGTGCCAGATGGCGGCTTCTCACTGGACCATCCTGTTGCGTGTGCCATGTGGGAGCCGTCCAATGGGGAGCCAGCATCAAGGGAGCAAACACCAGCGCAGGCAGCAGCAGCACAGACAGCATCAGCGCTTCCACTGGAGGAGCAACTGCAGTACCAGGCACCGCCGCAGTACCAACAGCAATGGCAACAGGAGCCGCAGCAGCAGGACCAGCAGCAATGGCAGCAGCAGCAGCCTCCGTTCTATCCTCCCATAACCTCTTCCCCACCACCTCCTCCTCTATCCGACTATGCGGCCCTCCCCCCTCCGTCACACCCTGCCTTTGCCACTGCTGATGCCATGCCCGCTGCAAGCCCTGGGTTCGAGACTGCTGGCATGGATGGTATGGCTTTTGTGGGTAGTGCAGGTGGTACGGCTGGTACGGCTGGTGTGGGTGGTATGGATGCTATCGCGCCTCCAACCCCGGCAGGAGCTGTGCCTGTTCCAGCCGCATCTTCCCCTGTTACACCTTCCCCAGTCACCACCTACCCTCCCAACCCCACAAGCTTCGCCCGCTCCCCATCCACCCTCTCCCTCGCACTCGCCCCCGTCCACGCCTCCGCTTCGTTCTCAGCCTCGGCGCCCCTCTCCGGACCTGGAACAAGCTCGGCATCAGGCTCGGCGGCTGCTTCGGCAAGCGACTTCACGTGGGCTGCCGGGCCTGCGGTCGCTCCGGACTCCTCGCCAGCTGATGCTCAGCGTGCCGCAGATTTCGCGGTCGATTTCCCACTGCCGGTTCATTCTGATGCCTGTCTGAATGCCGCTGCTGCCATTACAGAGCTCCCGCTCTTCCCCGCGTCGGCAGCGGCTCGAGAAGCAGCCGCTGCCATCTCAAGCCTCGGAACGGAGGGTGTTTCTAATGTTTGCGCCTCGCCTCGCGTACGTTCCGCCAACTCTTCATTTAGCATGTCTGGGCAGCCAAATAAGAGAGGCAGGGATGAAGGGAGTGTGAGCATTGGGGATTCAGAAGGCAGTTTGGGAGGTTTGCTGCTGGGTTTGGGGGAGCTGAGGGAGACGGGTGCTCCTGTGAGTAAGGCTGCAAGGCTGATTCGGGAGCAGTGGGCTCGGAAGAGGGGACTGCCTCCTTTGTCCATTCCCCCACCGTTGGATTTGCCATCGCCGGATCATTCTCCTGCGGATATGAAACCGCATGCCAATAGTATGTACATGTCTATTCACGCCGGCTTGTGACAGGTTGCTGGTAGTTTTTGTAATTTCTTAACGTAGAAGGGCGTTGTTTTGTAGAGATAGACAGGAAAATAAGATGCTGGAAATGATTTCGAAGCAGCGCGTAGATTTGTGCTCGATATCCAAACTATATTAGAAGACTTTAGAATTTTTCTCCATTAGCCATATTCAGTATTGGGACTTTCATCGGCGGGTTCTGGTTCAAGCCTGTCAGACGGTTTTCCCGCCAAGGATTCACCCTCCCCGTATCAGGACTACCGAGGACAACCCGAAAGACTCTTCATTTGCGCGGTTCCAAAATACTGCGCACAGTCTGACACCCATACCAGGCTGGCGATCTTCTTCCGTTTCGCCAGCCTGGTTTGCTGTTCGTTTCATTTCGCTGATTTCGCTTCATCAGCAGTTCTTGCACCTCAGACCGTTGCGCTCCGTCTCTGTCGGGTCAAGCAATCCAAAGCACCTCACCTCACGTCACACACCCGTGTGCTGGGTGTCAGCTGAAGCAAACGAACGGAACAGAAATCTGGTTGTATGCTGATCCCCCAGTACGGTTGAACAAGTATCTCGGTCGGTATTTAGCGCTACCTTTACTTCACCGATTTGAACCGGAACGCAAACTGCAGAACCGTGGTAGATGAGTTGAAAATGAACACACGGCAAAAGCATTTGGTAAGATGGCTTGGTAGCTTTCCTCTCTCCACCTCATTCCGCATTCCATCAATCACCGACTTTACTTCTTCGTTCCCTAGTCCTTCAGCAGTTTCGAGAGAACGAGGTTGCTTGGTCTGCTAGTTTGTTTTAGTATTCCTCGCCTATTGTGTACCTGGGTCCGGTAAATTAGGTCTTCAAGTTACACTGGCGTCACTCACACTTACCGTATCTTAGTGCAGCCTAAGTACGCGTAAGTTTAACTTTCACTAGGAAATTTGCTAGACCTGACCGAGCTAATTCAACTTCCGAATCTAGGTTGAATACACGTGGGAATGGCGACGCTTCAGAATCACCCGACTCCGCTAGACGAGTACAACAAGGAGATGGGAGAGCTGAAAACTCTTGTGACGAAGGCTTTAGAGAAAAAGGGTGTATTGGCTCGACTCAAGGTGTGTCGCTCATGGTGTTTTATTCACGCACGTGAGTAGGCGAGAGACCGAGACTCGTATCCGTTTACTCAAGCAAGTACTATTGAGGGTCGTGGCTCGTGTTTCGTAACTGATCGCACTACCGAGTTCCGTGACTCGTGAATCGTGACTGATGCTCTTAAATCTGGAAATTTGTGCCTCTTGGCTCGCGATGGCAGGCGGAGCTGCGAGCGAGCATATTCGAGGTGATAGACGACAAGGACAAGACGGCGAGCGGCGATGAGCAACGCGCCGTGAGAGGCGGTTGCAGCGAGCAGGCGAAGAACCTGCACGATTCCAAAACGGGTGAGCTGACGATAATTAGCACGATGAAAGACGAGATCGGGCGTACGATCGAGTTTCCACGGTAGAACGGCTGCTGGTGACTCTCTGATCGGTTACCATCCGTTGCTCATTTATTTCATGCCTCACCGTAACATGCACAGATAGTACTTGTTTTCTCCAGCCGTCGTGTCCCATTGTAACATATTCCTCCTTGTAACGTTGTTTCGTGGTGAATGGTTGACGTCGTGGCAGGCCATCTGCTCACGGCGTTGCTGTGCGAGTACCTGGAGTGGGGGGAAATGGACCATACCCTCAAAGTGTACCTCTCGGAGTGTAACCTGGTACGTACGATCGACGTGACCTCTCGGGATGTAACCTGGTACGTACTGTTGAGGTCTACCCCGCGGGATGTAACCTAGTAACTTTCCAAGTGTACCCGTTGGAGTATAACCCGGATGGTCTGCTCTAACGCCATGTCATGTAGACGAATAGCAGTGTAGTGAACGGAACGGAGCATAGAAGGTTAAGATGTGAGTGTGTACAACGAATAGCCGTGTTCGTGAAGAGGACAGCAATGGCATGCACTGCGGTAGTCTTGGCATGGCATGTATAGTCATTAAGAGGTACGGTCATTACCCGTATGGTGACGGTCGTAGGTACAGACATTAACGGTGTCGCGGAAGGTCGACCGTGGGTGAGTGTGGGCTCGGACCAAGGCTTAAGCAAACGTCTGGTGTAAGTGTTCCTTTCGTTCAACTTAACAGAATTCCTTTCTCCCTTGCATTTCCCCAGCCACCTGTGTACCCGCGCCGACCAAAGCTAGAGGACGAGCTCGGCCTGCCGTCGTCCAATGCCATCATGACACCTGGCGGTGCCACACGGCCGCTCCTGCACGAGCTGATCGACGCCTACTTCACTCTCAAGGTGCGCCCATGGGTCACGCCTGCCCCAGGGTCTCTATCTGCCCACGGTCCATAGTTTGTCTAGCGTCCATTTTAACATGCAGCTTAAGCTTGGTTTCAAGCTGATCGACGCATACTGCACTCTCAAAGTGAGCTAATAGTGTTCGTTTGCCGGGTCTGTCTGTCACGAGTCCTGTTTTCCCCAGGCTCTCATGGTTGCCAGGTTGTGCACACGGCTCATGATGGTCTTCACGGCCCATTATTGTACAATTATGGAGCCCAAGGCTCGTCTAAACAAAAGTAGGTCTAGAAAAGCCCGAGCGTCGGGAAAGGTTGACATTCACTGACAATGAGCGTGTGTGATGTCTGTGTGTGCGTGATTTCTATAGGTGTCTTGCACCCCTCAGGCGCAGGTCAAGTCAGGCGCGACAGGCACATCATCATCATCAAGGGGGCAAAGTTTGAGTCAACTGAAATGTCACCTCTGCGCGTGCATGATGCCTCTGTGTGTGTGCGGGCATGCCTACATGTGCGTGATGTCTGTGTGTGCACGTCTGTGTGTATCGTTTGTCTGTGTGTGCACCCCTCAGGCGCAGGTCAAGTCAGGCGCCACAGGCACGTCATCATCAGGAGGCGGGCTGCTCTCTCGCGCCACTGCTCGCAGCTCTAGCCCCTCAGGTATGCCCCGCATGCCCCACATGCCGCACATGCCGCACATGCCCCGCATGCCCGACATGCCCCACGTGGCCCACATGTATCACAGGCCCTCTTGTAATTTCGCTTGCGTGCTATCGAACCAATACTTGTAATTTTGCGTGCGTGCTTTGTAACCAATACTTGTAACCAGCCGACCAAACGTCCTCCTTCCCTTCAATTCCTCTTTCCTCTTTCTCCCCTCGTTCCCCTCAGCTCTCCCCCCTTTCCACACCTTTTTAACCCCTCCAGCCGGTCAGAGATCCCCCTGAAGCACCTCCTACGTCACTCGTGGCTTCAGCAGTGCCCCTCTCTTCCCCTTCAGTTCCTTCTTTCCTTCCGCTCCCTCCCCTCCTTTCCCCACCCCCCTTTTTTTGCCCCACCAGACGGCCAGAGAACTCCCGGAAGCTCTTAGCCCCTCACTCGTGACTTTGGCAGTGTGTTTGGCTTGTGAGCCTCTTGAACTAGCTTCACCGTCCTTCCATTGCCCCAAACCCTCATCCCTCACCAGGCAGGCGGTCAGAGATCCCCCAGGAGCACCTCCCCCCTCACCCGTGGCTTCAGCAGTGCGTTCGGCTGCAGCAGCAGCGGCGGGGGCGAGCGTGAGAGGCCTTCATCAGGCAGCCGGCGCAGCAGTAGCAGCAGCAGCAGCAGCAGGGCTGCAACTCGTCCCTCACCCATGCCTTCAGCATTGCATGTCTCCTCCCATTCCACCCTCATTCCTCTCCCCCCTCCCTCTCCCTTGCCCCCCTTCCCTCCCACCAGCCGGTCAGAGATCCCCCAGGAGCACCTCGCCCCTCACACGTGGCTTCAGCAGTGCATTTGGTCGCAGCAGCAGCGGCGGGGGCGAGCGCGAGCGGTCCTCCTCAGGTAGCCGGCGCAGCAGCAGCGGCGGCAGGGCGGTGCCTGAGCCGGCATCAAGAGGTGAAAGCGACACTGAAAGGGGCGGCGGCGGGGGCGCGTTTTCGAAGCTGCCGATCTCGTTGCTACGTGACATCCCATCCTCGCGGGATAGATATTAGCTGCGGGGGGTTGTGAAGGGGAGGGGGAGGAGAGAAGCGGACTTGGGGGGGTTGATTGTATGGCAGCAAGGCAGCAGCACTGGGGCAAGTGCAGCACTGATGGAGGTGGCGTCTGAGGGGATGAGGTTTCAAAGCTACCAATCTCGTTGCTACCTGACATCCCATCCTCGGAAGATAGATATTAGCTTTTGGGAGGTGGGCCGGTGGGGTTGGGGAGTTGATGGGGGGAGGTTTTAGGTGGTTTTACATGTGTGTTGTGTTCTCAGATACTATATGGGTCAGCGGCTGTTTATATGGTCCATACATATGCATTAGATGCGGCGCGGCTTAAAGGTGACTATCAGCGTGACAGGCAGCATCTGGGCACCTGTAGCCTGGCCAATAGAGCAGTGTGGGTGGGTTCTGTAGCCGACGGGGGGAGTCCGCCTGCTTGCCTCCTTAAAGGTCACTTGGGGTAAAAAGGTCACTTGCTCCCCTTTAGGAGCCGGTACCCGGAGGTATAGAGATTAGTGTCGTGGTAATGTTTAGGGAGACTCCTGTTAGCGAGGCTCAGCTTGATGAACCTGTAACCGAATCTATAAGTGACGGAGTGGTATCACGTCCTCATTATAAGAAGTAAACATTTTTCATGCTTGTTGACAAGCCAGCGCCTCTTGACTAATCCCGGTTTGATTTGTAATGAGTCCTTCCTAACCTGAATGCATAGCTAGGCTGGTTGGAAGGAGTGAGGGAGGCTACTGGAGGGGGGCTCACCGAGCCGTGTTGGCTGGTTCGTCTTGTTCATTTGTCCGCATCCCCGATTACCAAGTAGAGAAGCTTCGGTTCCGCCATTTCCTTCGCCAAACCGCGAACAGCGGACCGCTATTACCCTGGGCGCGACTCGATTCAAGGTCTGGAAGGTTGAGGTGGGGGGCCCACGGAACTTCGACAATTCTCGCCCCCATTTGCACGATAAATACGCGAGAGCAAGGGCACAGCAGACAGACCAATTCGAAGGAACTCCAATTTCCAACTCGGCCACGCAACTCACGACGACGTCGTCAACCATCCCCGACCCCACTGGACTTCAGACAATGGCTCTCGTCAACGATTCACATATTTCGAAGTCGACGCAACAGCTCCCATCTGACGGGGACATTGAATCAGGAAACTCCGCTTTCTTAGCTCCAGACGCATCGCTTTCCGTTTCCTCGTCGCCCTCTCAGAAGTCGCTTCCCCTATTTTGCTGCGCGCCTCCTCTTGCGAGGAACGCAGTTTCCGCAAGTGACAGCGTCGATGAGGAAAACCCGGGAGAGTTCACCGCGGTTTACCCTCCCGACTTGCACATCGCCAACCCTAAGGAAGTAACCACCACTGCTGACGAAATAGAGAAGCTTCGCAAGGACGAGAAGCATCGTCAGAAGCGGCTTCGCCGGACCTGCTGCTGCCGCGTCGCATGCTGGTCGCTCATCGTCCTCACCGTCGTTATCGTTGGATTAGGCGTCGCAGGGCTCGTCGCATACCTGACAGTCTCGAAGCAACAACCGGAGGTGAAGGTCGAGCAAATCAACATCATCCGCGTCGGCATCACGAAATCCGGCGGCGGGTTCCTGGGCCTCGAAAACTTCCGCCTGGGCCTATCCGCGTTAATAAACGTCACCGCGCTCGTGTATAACCCCAACAATTGGGACGTGGAAGCGGAAGACATCAGCATCGACGTAAAATTCTTCGACATGCATGTCGCGAATGTGACCCTCCCTGGCGTTGTGGGCATGAGCAAGGGTGGGAGCGCGCAGTTGACTGTCCCCCTTGATATTGTCGACGCGCCCCTGGCGACGCTGAGTCCCGCGAGCCTGCTGACGACGCCGCTGCTGCATGGGCGCGCGGAAATGCGGGTGGTGGTTGGCACTGCAGCGCGCGTGAAATACTGGGGCATCTCGTCGCCGCGCGTTATGGTGCATGTGGAATGCACGATGCAGCTGGACCCGTTTTCCGCTAAGAAGTACAACGAGCAGTGTACACCCAGCATCTCGCTGTAAAAGGAGCACTAGCAGTGTAGGTTTAGGAATACCGTAGCGTCGCCATACTCCCTCAGTAGGCGGTTTCTTGCTTTTTCAGGGCATATTCCTGACTTTGTGTCAGTCCCTGGCACAGGGCTTCAGACAAATTCAGGAATGCGCCCCCTTTGTTTTGTACTTCTTGGTGTTTGATTACAATCCATAGCGAAGCTTTTGAGCCTACCTAGAGATGCCCTGAAATTTCACGCGCAACCTCAACCCATACCGCCACCACTCCCGCAGCCTCCCCTTTCTCTTCCCGTCCTTCCCCCCTGATCGGGCGTGCAACAGCGCTCCTCGATGTGGTGTCGATGGAGGGGAGGCGGCCGCTGGGGCGTTTCATCCAGGCCCGAGGGAGGAGAGAAGGGGGCAGAGAAAGACAGAAGTAGCCGTTCAGGGAGTTCAGCGGGTAAAGAGGGAAGCTGCGGTTTGGTCAGTGCAGTCGAAAAGGGAAGAGTAATGGAAGAGGGAGGTACGGAGGGGAACTGGCGTTTTGGGCAGGGAGGAGAGGAGGGAGCAGGGGGGGGAGGGAAACGGCCTATTGGGCAGGGAGGAGAGGCGGGAACAGGGGGAAGCTGACAGTGGAGTTGGCAGCAGTGGGGGGAGCCGTTAGGATGTCCCAAGCTGACGTGGTGGATGCCACGTCAGCACTCGGCACTGGCCTGCGATTGGTGGATGAGGAGGTGCGGCTTCTGCAGCAGGAGACAGAAGAGGCGAGGCTGCAGGAGGAAAGGGAGGAGGAGTAGGAGAAGCACCAGGAGGGGGAAAGGGAGGAGTGACACGTTAGGGGGACAGGGGGAGGGACAGGAGAGGGGCATGATAGCAAGGTGAGAGGAGAGGCAGGAGAAAGGAGGAAGCAGAGGGAGGTACTGGCCGAGAATGCCGAAGAGTGCAAGAAGCACATGGTGCTGCTGTGTGGGCGAGGTACTGCCACTTGCATATGGCAGTTGGGAGTGTAGCAGCATTCACCATGTAAGTCAATGGCATCAGTGGTGTAACATGCACCCATTGTTTGTAGCATCTTTGCATCAGAATTCTGTTGAATTCGATATGTTCCTTAGCATTCTGATCATTGGCCTTCGTTTATTAGGTCAGCTCTTAGACAGCTGGCATGCTACCTTGGAGAGTCAACCCCAACCCGCAACAACAGATATAAGACCCCTCTCATTCAACCACCCACCGGCCTTCATGACACAAAAATCCTTTTATGCGCTACACTACACCCGTTCCTTGATTTCACGACATTCAAGTTTGCTTGACATCTGATGTTGGCTGTTACCTGTGCAGGCACTGTTTGCATCATTGTGGTCGTTCGCCATGCTCTTTGGTCGAGCACATGCGACAAAGGACATACCATGCCACTTCCACGACTTTGCATGATTCACTTAACCATCACAAATGACGAAGGCTTGAGAATTTTAGAGCCAAAAAAAATATGGAAAAATTGATGGGATGTGTGGTTGGGGGGTGGGGAGCAAGACAGTTTTTGAAGGGTCATGCATCAATCAAGTCAAATTGAACAAATTCACTAGAATGTTTCTGGTTGTTGGGCAGACATTTTGAAGCACAGTTTTACTGCGTATATCCACATACAAAATTGACTGCCAACAATGTGAGGTAAACCAGTCTTGAAAAGCTCCAACAACTAGAGCAAAATGTGCTTGCTATTTATCTTTCATGTTTTACTGCTGTTAGCTATTTCGCATTGCCTCATAACCGTACCGGTCTGGTTCGTAACGATGAAAACAATCGAGTAGGCTAGACTGGTTGAGGTTCAGGACGCGGTAAAAGTGGAGAATTAATCGCCTCAGGTTCGTTTTCTAACACGGTTATAAACGGTTGTGTATCATTCGTATGCAAAACGCGGGTCTTCAGTGCGGTGAATGGATCGATCTCCCCCCGATCTAGCACTTTTACCGCGTCCTCAGGGGGACTGGAGACCCACCGAGCCGTGTTGTCTGGTTCGTCTGGCTCATTTGTCCGCATCCCCGGTCACCCAAGGAAATGAAGCTTCGGTTCCGCAACTTCTCCAAGCACACAGCGGACCGCGATCACCCTGGGCGCGCCTCGGTTCAGGGAATGTGCACGGAGGAATGTGGAGGCGCGAGTAATGTGCGAGAGCAAGGGTTTGGCATTGGTCGCCCCCATTTGCACGATAAATGCGCGAGAGCAAAGGTATTGCAAGCAGACCAATTCAAAGCAACTTTTCAACACACCTCTCTCGACTCCACATCCCAAAGCCGCTCCAACCACTTCGTACGACATCCACTCCACCATCCGCTGCACCTTGAACCGTTCCCAAATCTACTGCATCTCTGACGAACTCAGCTCACCGTAGACATTACAGGCATGGCTCTCAAGAACGAGTGCTCAAAGATCGAAGACATCGAATCAGGAGCAGCAACTTTCTCAGCTCCAGACGCCACGCTCCCCGCTCCCTCGTCGCCACCCAGAAACTCGCTCCCCCTCTTTTGCTGCGCGCCTCCGCTTTCGAGGAACGCAGTTTCCGCAAGTGACAGCGCCGATGAGGAAAATCCAGGGGAGTTCACCGCGGTCTACCCTTCCGATTTGCACATCGCCAACCCTAACGAAGTAACCAGCACTGCAGACGAAATAGAGAAGCTTCGCAACGGCGAGAAGGATCGCCAAAGGCGTCGCCGCCGGACCTGCTGCTGCCGCATCGCTTGCTGGTCGCTCATCGTCCTCGCGGTCGTTATCGTCGGATTAGGCGTCGCAGGGCTCGTCGCATACCTGACAGTCTCGAAGCAACAGCCGGAGGTGAAGGTCGACCAAATCAACATCATCCGCGTCGGCATCACGAAATCCGGCGGCGGGTTCCTGGGCCTCGAAAATTTCCGCCTGGGCCTATCCGCGTTAATAAACGTCACCGCGCTCGTGTATAACCCCAACAACTGGGACGTGGAAGCGGAAAACATCAGCATCGACGTAAAATTCTTCGACATGAATGTTACAAAAGTGACCGTCCCAGGTGTTTTGGGAATGAGCAAGGGTGGGAGCGCGGAGTTGACTGTCCCCCTTGATATTGTCGACGCACCCCTGGCGACGCTGAGTCCCGCGAGCCTGCTGACGACGCCGCTGCTGCATGGGCGCGCGGAAATGCGGGTGGTTGTTGGCACTGCAGCGCGCGTGAAATACTGGGGCATCTCGTCGCCGCGCGTTATGGTGCATGTGGAATGCACGATGCAGCTGGACCCGTTTTCCGCTAAGAAGTACAACGAGCAGTGTACACCCAGCATCTCGCTGTGAACGGGGCATCAGCAGCAGAGGTTTAGGAGTCCATAGGTTACTCTTTGCCATACTTCCTCTTAGGTGTTACGGTACCATAGGCTCCTCCTCACTGTCATACTTCCTCTTAGGTATTTGCTTGCCTTTTCTGGGCATATTCCTGACTTTGTGTCAGTCCCTGGCAGAAGGGGTTTCCACAAATGCAGGAATGCGCCCTCTTTGTTTTGTACTTAATGTTTGACTAAAATCTACCTAACAAAACTAGCTTACGCAACGGCAGGACCGTAGCACAGAATACGGTACCCGGCAGGGAGGGAGTGGTGGAAGCAGGTGGCCTTTGTTGGGATCAGCAAGAGCGCGGGACAGGTGCTGTCTGGGAGTTGCATTCTGGGGGCCTACCAACGAAGTGGAGTACGCTGCCAGCCTACCAACCAGATCCTGAAGTGGCCCAGCTAGTTAGCTGGTTCACTTCCGAAGGATGAGGTCCCGGGATCAATTCCCCCCTGCGGCGTGTTCAGCCAGCCCCCCAGAAGGGGGTTACACAGGTGCTCATCTGGGAGTGGATACAACAACCTCGTTACCCAGCGAGGCGTGTAAACAAATGGGTAGGCGGGTTACGACCGACAGCCGGGGTAATACCAAGGGGGTTTCCCCATAACCTTTACCTTTGCCAGCCTACCAACCAGTACCGTAAGATTAGCCTGATAGACATCCTCTTTGGCTGTAGTGCAGGAGCACGGGTCCTGGTAACGTGGCACCGATTTCTTAGGCTAAACTTTCACATCACATCAAATCACAATGGCAAGCACAACAGGAGGCCTTTGCCAGCGAATCTTATACAACAACAGAGCCGCTTTATGCATTCAAGGGACAGGAGCTACTTCTCTCTGAACACAACATAACTAATAAACATAGACAAAACTGAATAGATCTGCATCTGACTCGCTCTTGGAGTTGAGAAGACACACATTGAGCTCTTGCTGCTGAAGGAGCTACGGTATCAAGAGGCACCCTCCCCCCCTACCTGCTTCACAAGCTGTCAAATCGACTTACCGTAACCCACCACAGTGTCTCAAGCAGCGTCGGAGTCGCTCTGCGAATTCAACAAGCGCAGAATGAGTTCCTGTTGCAGCAGCAGCTGCTGGTGCAGCGCGCTCGCCTGCTCAATCGCTCTCATATCCTGCTGAACCACCTGCTTCTGCAGCCTCCTCACTGCCCTCCTCTGCAGCTGCACCTCTCCCTTCAGCACTTCTAGTCCCTCCGCTGTCATTGCAGCGTCTCTAGCAACCCTAGTGAGTGTGTCTTTGAGCTTTCTGTGCTCCTCCTCCTCCTGCTGCTGCTGCTGCTCCTGCTCCCTGAGAGGTGCCACCGGGGCTGACATCCCCTCTAGCACCTCCCCAAACTGAGCCAGGATCACGTTAGCTATGGGCCGAACCTCGATGGTAGGGTCGGGATCGGTCTGAAGGGGAGAGGGAGGAGGGAGGCAGAGAGGAAATAGATGAGGAAGAGGATGCGGTTACGTCATGATTCGTGAGCCGATTACCGTATCAGCAAGCCCACCAGTTGTTCCGACCCAAGTGAGTTTAACGAGCCAGCTCACCTGTTGTTTCAGGATGAGTGAGTTCAAGAAAACATCTCACATGTGGGAGGGACGCAGCCCACGGTGTAAAAACGAATACGGATTCGAATACGGTTATCTAAAACGAATAATTGTCGAATACCTGGCTGTATTTGTATTTGTTCGAATACCTGTCCCTCCACGAATTCGAATACGATTCGAATACATGGTGTGTCGAATACGGTTTCGAATAGCATATTGTAGCTCAAACAAGGATCTCATGATTCACGGTGGGGCTTAAATGCATACTGAAGTATCATTCACACCCTTTTACTCTAACTCATTGGCCCCTTGCTCAGTTAGCATGGCTCTGACGGCCGTTCTGTATTGTTTACTCAAGATTTCGTGAATAATAGCGGCTTTTTTTAGTGGTTCAGTAACTTAAGAACGAATCGAATATGTATTCGAATAACCGGTTATCTAAACCGAATACTCGAATACTTGAACGTCGAATACTTTCGAATAGTAAGGGGCATTTGTATTTGATTTGTATTTGATATTTGTCGAATATCGAATACTAATACGAATACAGTGGTATTTGTTTACACCCCACCTGTCGCTTGAAGCTGAAGCCTCCGCCCCGCACGGAGTCACTACCAGAAGGCCTGTTGGCAGCACAGCGCTCCAGCACCCCCAGCAGGGCGTCACCATTCAAGCAAACTGACAGTGGCAGGGAATGAGAGCAGCCTTTCAGCCCACCTGTCGCTTGAAGCTGAAGCCTCCGCCCCGCACGGAGTCACTACCAGAAGGCCTGTTGGAAGCACAGCGCTCCAGCACCCCCAGCAGGGCGTCACCATTCAAGCAAACTGACAGTGGCAGGGAATGAGAGCAGCCTTTCAGCCCACCTGTCGCTTGAAGCTGAAGCCTCCGCCCCGCACGGAGTCACTACCAGAAGGCCTGTTGGCAGCACAGCGCTCCAGCACCCCCAGCAGGGCGTCACCATTCAAGCAAACTGACAGTGGCAGGGAATGAGAGCAGCCTTTCAGCCCACCTGTCGCTTGAAGCTGAAGCCTTCTCCGCGCACGGAGTCACTGCCAGGGGGTCGGTTGGCAGCGCAGCGCTCCAGCACCCCCAGCAGCGCGTCGGCATTCAAGCACCGCTTGCCCACCCGCAACACCCTGCGCGGCCGTGGCTTGCTTCGCCCCAGGCCTCTGCAGCAGCGGCTGACTCGATTCCAGCCCTCTTTGAGCGCCGCCACTGACTTGGCCACCACCGAATCCTCCAGCTGTGGGGGGAGGCCGGGAGGAGAGAGTGAGAGACAGGGAGGAGAAACGGAAGGAGAGAGGGAGGGAAGGAAGGAAAGGCTGAAAGGCAGCAGCGGTTGACTCGATTCCAGCCCTCTTTGAGCGCCGCCACTGACTTGGCCACCACTGAATCCTCCAGCTGCCAGGGAGGAGAGAGGGTGCGAGGGGAAGGGAGGAGAAGAGAGAAGATATGAAATGGGAGCAGCGGTTGACTCGATCAGAGCCCTCTTTGAGAGCTGCGACTGATTTGGTCACCACCTAATCCTCGAGCTGAGGAGGAGGAGAGAGGGAGGGAGGGGCGGAGGGGAAGGGAGGGAAGGAGGGACATGATGAAAAGCTGCTAGAAGTTGACTCGATTAAAGCGGCCATTGAGAGATTGAATCGCTTGAAGCCGCCTTTGAGAGCTGCGACTGACTTGGCCATGACCGAAATATCCAGAGCACCCATCCATCGCAAGCATATGCCTGCCTTGGGAGCGCACTCACACCAGAGACCGTCCTGTCCCCATTGCAAACATCACCGCACACTACCGCACCACACCACAGGCTATCCTAATCTCACCGCTACGTAGCCGTCCTCTGCCCCCAGCATGAGCAGGTGGCGCTGCAGCCTTCCCGGCTTCCAATAGTGCATTGAGAGACGCAGCAGCACAGCACGTGTGTGCGGTGTGAGTCCACCAAAGAAAGGCGAGTTTATCCCCCTCTCACCGTGACGTCAACGTCCTCTGCCCCCAGCATGAGCAGGTGGCGCTGCAGCCTTGTGAGTCCACTCAGACACCTGTTGAGGCGTCTTAAAGCCCCACAAAGAAAGACAGACGAGTTCACCCTGCTCTTACCGTAACGTCAACGTCCTCTGCGCCCAGCATGAGCAGGTGGCGCTGCAGCCGTCCCGGATTCCAGTAGTCCGTTGAGAGGCGCAGCAGCGAGTGTGTTCCTTCCTTGTGAGTCCACTCGGACACCTGTTGCGACGCCTTAAAGCCCCACCAAAGAAAGAGGAGTTTATCCCGCTCTCACCGTAACATCAACGTCCTCTGCGCCCAGCATGAGCAGGTGGCGCTGCAGCCGTCCCGGCTTCCAATAGTCCGTTGAGAGCCGCCGCACCACGTTGCGCAGCACATACCACATGTCCACCGGGAAGGCTGGTGACTCCTCCGTGGATTTCTGGGAAGTTATTGGGAAAGAGGGGGAGAAAGGAAGGGGAGAGAGGTTGACGCGCAGCACCACGGTGCGCATAACATACCACATGTCGGCGAGCATCACAAGCACCATCACACTGATGTAGGCGATCCAGAAACTGATGACTGTTGTAAGTGAGTGATGTGCCAGGCATGCAACCTACCCTACCGCTCCATGTCCCTCAAATACGTACCCTGACTTCTAAGAACGCGTCGACCACGATAGCGAATGAGCACGTGGAGCATGACAAACACCATCACGCTGATGTAGGCGACCCAGAAGATGATTGCTGCTGTGAGGTTCCACCCCTCCAGCTGAATGAAGTAGTAGCCGGTGCTGTTGTCGTTGATTAGGATGAGGAAGCAGGATACCATTGACATTGCCACCGTGCTGAACTGTTGAGTTGTAGGAGGGTGAATGGGGGAGAAGAAAGGTGTGGTTATTAGACATAAGAGGGGGAGGGATGAAGTAGTATCCCGTGCTGCTGTCGTTGATGAGAATGAGCAAGCAGGACACCATGGACATGGCCACCGTGCTGAACTGTTGTTGGGGGATGAGGGGGGTGGGGGGGTGGGGGGGTGGGGTGGAAGAGGGAGTGGAGGCAATGAGGTTCCTCCCACCCCTCGAGCTGAATGAAGTAATATCCGGTGCTGTTGTCGTTTATGAGAATGAGGAAGCAGGACACCATGGACATGGCCACCGTGCTGAAATGTAAGCAGGGAAAAAGGGGACGTTGGAAGGGGAGTGGGGCGCACGGGGAAGAATGCACACGGAAGGCGAAGGACGGAAGGACGAATGAGTACTATCCAGTGCTGGCCACTGTGCATCAGCATGGCCACTGCCAAACCCTAAACCATAATCCATAAACCTTAAACCCTAAGCCTTTGACCCTGTTCGAGCGTTCGACCGAAGACCACACAGGCATAGAGCGAGAAGCTGATGAGCACGATGAGCGAGAGCCAGAGCAGGAAGAAATAATGCACCAGGACGAGGAAGGCACCCCACTCACCTGCTGCATGGCACCTGCCAACACGACTGTACCGGCTAGCACCTTTCTACGCCCAGCACAGCACCGTACCTGCTCTAGCGTTCGGCCGAAGACCACGTAGGCGTAGAGTGAGAAGCCGATGAACATGATGGCCCAGAGCAGGAAGAAGTGCACGAGGGCGGGGAAGGTTACCCACCCACCTGCTGCCCTGCACATGCACCTGCCAACCGAATGGTACCGGCCAGCACCACTCTCTGCCCAACACAGCACCTTACCTGCTCCAACGTGCGCCCAAACACCACATAGGCATAAAGGGAAAAGCCGATGAACATGATGGCCCAGAGCAGGAAGAAATGCACGAGGGCGGGGAAGGCTGCTGCCATTGTGCGCGTGAGAATGGCGATGCGCGGCTGGAAGTCCATCAGCTTGAGCAGACGCAGCAGGAAGAGGAAGACGCTGGGGAGGGAGGGGGCGTGGGGATGAATGGGTGGGAAAATGGGAGAGCATGAGGGAGGGAAGGGTGAGTGAAGATGGCAATGTGCGGCTGGAAGTCCATCAGCTCGAGGAGGCGGATGAGGAAGAGAAGGACGCTGGGAAGGGAAGATGGCAAGGGACATTAGGAGGTGAGAGGATGGCAATGCGCGGCTGGAAGTCCATGAGCTTGAGCAGACGCAGGAGAAAGAGGAAGACGCTGGAGGATGGCAGGGTGTGTGGGCAACAGGGGTTGCATGGGAGTAAGGGACAGAAGAAAGCACAGCAGGAGGTCAGACGATGGCGATGCATGGCTGGAACTCCATCATCTTGAGCAGATGGAACAGGAAGGAAGAGAAACACTGAATCTGTTTTTGAGAATAAAAAAAAATAACGGAGGACGGCAGGGTGTGTCAGAGAGAAAACAAGGCATCCAGAGACAGGCAAGGGATGCAAGAAAGGGCTGCATTTCTAGCTGCCCTTGACACCACCATCGCTCCGCTTCTCACTCACTTCTCCTGCAGCAACACTCACTTGATGCCCTGCAGCGACACGAGGATGGAGCGCCACTGCACAAGGTTGCGCACCGAGTCATACACGGCCTGCGCCTGCTCGTAGCCCACCGGGGGGTACTGCAGCTGTTGGGGGGAGGGGAGAATGGGGGAGGTGCGGGGGGGGGTGGGAGAGGGAGGAGAGAGAAGAGTTGTGTGAGGGGTGCTATGTGTTGACTGGCATTGCCATAAGGTTGCACACCGAGTCGACTTTTGAGTCAACTCAAAAGTCACACCGAGTCATACACTGCCTGCGCCTGCTCGTAGCCCACCAGGGGGTACTGCAACTGTTGGAACCGAAAGAGCAGAGGGGTGGGGAAGGAGGGAGGGGGAAGGGATGTGCAGCGAGACAAGGTTCCGCACCGAGTCGTACACGGCGCCTGCTCGTAGCCCACTGGGGGTACTGCAGCTGGCTCTCGCATAACAGAAAGACTTACCCGCCAGACAAAGGGCGAGTCCCCTGTGACATAGATGTCGTATCGTGGCTGCACCTGGAAGCCACCCGCCAGTTGTACCGATATGATGAACCTGTGAGTGGGGAGAAGGGGTGGAGACGAGGTGGGGGTTGAGAGGAGGGGGATGAGATGAGATCTCTCAAACCACCTGGAAGCCACCGGCCAGCTGTACCGATATGATGAACCCGCGAGGAGGAACGGGGGGAGACGAGGTGGGGGATGAGTGAGAGGGGGGATTCAACAGGGCAGCAGCTGCAGCAGCAAAAAGGGGGGGCTTATACTCACTGCGTGATGATGCCTATGGAATGAAATATGTGTATGAAATCAAGTGGATGGTGGGGGCTCACCACTTACTCACCACTCTACTCACCACTCTAGTCACCACTTGCTCAGCACTTGCTCAGCACTTGACTCACCACATGATGATGCCGATGAATTGGATGGTGAGGGAGAGCACGTCCAGCCAGTTCCACAGCGTCTTGAAGTACGATGTGATCTGAGGGGATGCAGGGGGGAAGGGAGGTGAAGGGGAGGGAAGGGAGGTGGAGGGGAGGGAAGGGAGGTGAAGGGGAGGGAAGGGAGGTGAAGGGGAGGGAAGGGAGGTGGAGGGGAGGGAAGGGAGGTGGAGGGGAAGGAAGGGAGGTAAAGGAAAGGGAAGGGAGGTGGAGGGGAGGAAGAGCATTCAATCGTGAGGGAGAGCACATCCAGCCAGTTCCACAGCATTCGGGAATCGGAAGTACGATGTGATCTGAGGGGATGCGAAGGTAAGGGACGAGGAAAACAGGGAAGGGAAAGCAAGCAAGGTTGGTACGGGAGAAGGAACGGCATTTGAAACTAGCACACGGGAGTGCAATGCAGGATGGAATGCAAGCGAGGAAAAGCCGACAAAATTACTCAGCTTACTGAAACGCAGCTCAGATCTCTTTGCCCGTTTCCTTCCAGCACTGGAACGCAGAGAAGCACAGAAAATCCAACACGCAAACTCAGACTCACTGACTCACCCTGCCCGTTTCCAGCCAGCACTGAAACGCCTCGACGAGCTTCTCTGAGGTTCCACACCACAGAGCACACATACAGCACCGTCACCGTCACCATCAGCTCCCATTCCTTCCAGCCCATCCTAAACCAACAGAGTGGCCCAGGCTTGACTGACCAAAACACAAAGAGAAGTAGCTCACTCACCCTGCCCGTTTCCAGCCAGCACTGAAACGCCTCCACGAGCTCCTCTATGAGGTTCCACACCACGGCGCACACATACAGCACCGTCACCGTCAGCCGCACCCAGTCGGCGCTGGACGAGTAGAGCTCCACGTCGACCGGATCGACATTGTATGTCACCGCTATCTTGCCGCCAATCTGCATACAGGCAGGCAGGGAGAGAATGCTTTCAGGTTGGCTCAGCTGTCACCCCAGGAGACAAGGGGAGGGACGAGTAGAGCCCCACGTCCACTGGGTCCACGTTGTATGTCACCGCTATCTTGCCTCCAATCTGCATACAGGCAGGCAGGGAGAGAATGCTTTCAGGTTGGCTCAGCTGTCACCCCAGGAGACAAGGGGAGGGACGAGTAGAGCCCCACGTCCACTGGGTCCACGTTGTATGTCACCGCTATCTTGCCTCCAATCTGCATACAGGCAGGCAGGGAGAGAATGCTTTCAGGTTGGCTCAGCTGTCACCCCAGGAGACAAGGGGAGGGACGAGTAGAGCCCCACGTCCACTGGGTCCACGTTGTACGTCACCGCGATCTTGGCCCCGATCTGTGGGGAGGGGGAGGGCGCCTCCACAGCGCAAACCGTCACCGTGAGGCGCACCCAGTCGGCGCTGGAGAAGCAGAGGTAAAGCTCCACGTCCCCTGAGTCCACGCTGTATGTCACTGCTATCTTGCGTCACGGCAATCTTGGCCCCTATATGTTCAGGTGAACTCAGAAGTAGAGCTCAGGCCCTCAGGCACATGCGGAGGGAGCAGTAGAGCTCCACGTCTACTGGATCCACGTTGTATGTCACTGTTTTCTTGCCGCCGATCTGTGGGGAGGGGGAAGGTAATTACTTCCAGTCCGGGTGTCGATTCGACAGCCATGTGGGAGGTGAAAATGGCTTTCTGTGTTGAGCACTACAGACTGCAACGAGTCCACCACACCCTCGAAGCTGGGGTTACTAGCCCCAAAGTTGAGAGGAACTGTGGTGCAAAGCAGGTGAACAAAGGGCTGTGCATGGAACAAGAGTGGGGCAGCTGCATAGTGAGTATAGATGCAGCTGAGATGTAGCTGCATACTGAGTGTATATCCAAATACTGACCTCAAAGTTGAGTCGCACGGTGGTGTACACAAACAAACTGGAGTCGCCTGTTGTTGTGGTGGGTGGGTGGGTGGGTGGGTGGTGGTACAACAGGGGGGTGGACAAGAGACACACAATTGTATGAGCTGCTGCACAAATTGTTGTGCCAGGGAAGGAAATAGATGAGTGAAACAAAAGAATCGCAAGGGGAAGGAGAAAAGGGACTGGAAGAGGGAGCAGGGTGGCGTGGCGGAGTGAGGGAAAGAACGGGGGGAGGAGAGAGAGCACGGACACGACTATCACAGCTGCGCATGGCCATCATACCGCAAGCACACACCTTCGCCTGGTGGGCGGGAAAGAAGTGGGGGGCAAGGGGAAGGGGGATACAAGAGAGGTTGAATTCAACTTAGAGTGTTTGTAGCCGCCTCGTTGTCCTGATTTATGTCGAATATCACCGCGAACGAACACCTTCTCGTTCGCCCGGCAGAAGTGGGTCGGGTTGGGGGGGAGGGGGGGGGGGGGGAAGGGGGATGGGGGATGGGAGCCCTAACCATTGGGAGTGGCCGCCTCGTTGTCCAGATTGATGTCGAATATCACCAGGGATACCTTCTCGTTCGCCTGGCACAGGGATGGAGGGTCGAAAATGGAGGGAAGAAGGAAGGGGCTGATATTGGCCCACATTGGTTAATCTGAAATCAACTATCAGCCGATACCACACATAAACACACACTCTTGCCAAGCTGGCGAGAAGAGGCTGGCGAGAAGAGGCACTCACCTTGGCGACTTGGAAGCCATAAGGCACGCCGTCAGGCCGCGTCGCGATTGGCTGCATGGTGTCCACGTCAGCGCTGGCCAGCGAGTCGTTGAGCGCCACGTAGGCGTCAGGGAGGTAGAGCGAGGAGGAGGGCAGGAAGTGCGGGTTGACGCCAAAGGGGGCGGTGGATATGCCGTTCAAGCAGTGCTGGAAGAGGGAGGAGAACCTGGGTGGTGGGGAGGAAAGAGAGGATGGAGTGACAAGTCTCAGATGGAGAGTTGAGACGTCTCAAAGTGGATACGTGGACGTGAGGTGAGGAGAGCGGAATAAAGGATGGCGAGGAGTGGAAGCAAGGGGAGGGAGGAGGGAGGGGAGGATGCTGTTAAGAATAGATGAGCTGACTTGTATGGTTGACATGCTGACCTGTATGATTGACATGCTGACCTGTCTGGTTGACATGCTGACCTGTACGGTTGACATGCTGACCTGGATAATTGTCCACCTCACCTGTATGGCTGGCAGGTTACGGCGTCCCACCGGGTCTGCTCGATTTTGAGTCCTATCAGCACCCTGCCATGCTCCATGCGCCATGCGCCATGCACCACATGCCAGGCACCATGCATCATGCGCCATGCAACATGCACCATGCGCCATGCACACACACACAAGAGCGACACTTAATAGATAGAAATCAATACAACACCACCTATTCTACCCTCTAGATCCAACCAAGCACTCCCTGTCTCTTCTTCCCTGTTGCACCCACACCTCACTTCCCTGTTGCCCCCCTGCTCAGCGGGGAGCTGCTTCGCCCCCCTGCTCAGCTGCCACACCCCTCCACCCCCCTCGGTTGCCCCACCTCCCCACCTTCCCCTCCCCTCCAACCCTCTCCACCTGCTCTGTTGTGCCCCCCTCCCCACCCTTCCCACCCGCTCCATTGTGCCGCCTCTCCCCTTCCCTCCCACACCATCTGTTGTGCACCCTCCTCCCCCATTTCCCCTCCCTTCCCCGCCACTCCACCTACCTGTTACGCTGCAAACCCCTCCCTCATCTTTTCTCCCTTTCTTTCCCCCTTTCCCCCCTCCCCCTCCCACCTGTTCTGTTCCGCTACGAAGCGAGACAGTGCCACCTCCTCCGTGCCATTCGCTGACGACGCATTTCCCGCAGCCGCGGCACCAGGCGCAGCTGCTGACGTGGCATTTCCAGTCGACGTGGCAGCTGACGTGGCATTGGAGAACATGGCGAGGGTGAAGGGAAAGGAGAGGCCATCCCCTATGGCTGACGTCATGCAGCATGCTGGGTGGAGGGGGGCCATGCAATGGAGGGAAGCGGAGGAAGAGGGGGGGGAGTGGAAGGATGGAAGGAAGGCGAGGAATGAGCCTGGTGCGGAAAAAGGGTGCAAAGGTTGGTGGCGGAAAGTTGGTGGCGGAAAGTTGGTGGCGGAAAGTTGGTGGCGGAAAGTTGGTGGCGGAAAGTTGGTGGCGGAAAGTTGGTGGCGGAAAGTTGGTGGCGGAAAGTTGATCGCGGAAAGTTGGTGGCGGAAAGTTGGTGGCGGAAAGTTGGTGGCGGAAAGCGGGGATTGGAAAGTGGGTGTTGGGACGGAAACTGTGAGATGACCAAGTCACTGGCTGCTCCCTATTCCTGAGGCGCCTCAGTAACTTTCAGTTCTGACCATCTTCCCATCTTTCCCCACCACCCATCCCCTCCCACTGCCCATCCGCACCCACCACCCATCCCATCCCACCACCCATCACCACCAGCCGCCGAATCACTCACCTCCTTCGTCCGACCGAACCTGTCCCGGAGGACAGGGGCAGTACTGCGGCCGGGCCACGAATCCCACCGGACCTAGCCCCGAGCCTGGGACCGAGCCTGAAGCTACGGATGCAGGCTCGGGAACGGACGTGGCCGGCAGCGCGCATGAGCAGTCTCCGCCGTCAAAAGCACACGCGTCGACGTTGCAAGGTGGGTTGCATCTTCCGTCTGCTAGTGAGGAGAGCAGGCAGCCTGGCGCGCATTCTATTGGCTTGCCGGATTGACCAATGGTAGCACGGGAACGAGAGGAGGAGGGGGATGAGGAAGAAGAGGAGGAGGAGAAGAGAGGGAGGACAGTGACAAAGCCTCGCGTGGGCTCTCCCACACGTGAACACTCATAGACGAAGGTCCCGGGAACAGGGAAGACCGTGGTGTAGGAGAACGGGGTGGGGGGGGACGAGGCAGCCGTGCTGGTGGGACCTGCGATGATAGGACGGAGAACAGTGTGGGGGTGAGGGCGGAAGGAGAGGGTGAGGAAGGAGACGGGTGAAGGAGTTGAAATGTGTGAGTTCAGGGAGGCGGGACGATGGATGGAGCCTTGAGTGAGTGAACAAGGGGGTTGAATGTGTGTGTTCAAGTGTTGAGGAATGCGAGGGGCCACCGGAGCACGGGAGCATGGGAAAACGAATACACAGGTCCCCCATCTCACTGAGGACACATGGCGCAGGATCAGCGGTGGACGCGTGTGAGCCGTTGATGAGCGTCGCTGTGGTCCCCACGTTCTCCGCGCTGCATGCCACGTCAGCACTCACCACCAACCGCCCACTGCCCATGCCATAGAAAGGCGTGGCTGCTGCGTCTCCGAATCCCGCCACTGAAAGTGGGGGATGGGGGAAGGGGAGATTGGCCATTAGATATGGTTCTGCAGATAAGGGGTGGCTGCTGCCCCAAATCCTGCACTGAGAGGGCAGATGGAAGAAAAGAGGTGCAGTTGGGAAGAGAGACTAAAAAAGGTTTGAGGAAAAGGGTATGGCAAGGATGAGTAAAAATCCAAGAAAGAAAGGCGATGGGAGAGGAGAGGGGAGAAGGTGCAATGCAGGGATCCACAGAGAGAGACGAGGAGGGATACAGCGCTCCCCCACCAGGCGTTGCATGGCCCACACATAATGGCTGTGAGATTCAGAGCTTGTGCCCGTACCCGGGCGGTCGGTCCCCCCACACCCAGACCCACAGCATGGCATTGCATGGCACACAGCACAGCACGGATATGAGATTGAGCATTGCAAATGCAGGTGCACTCACCGTTGATGGCATGTGGCTGGCCGTCCGCCCACACCCACGTGACTCGCTCCCCCACCGGCACCACCGTGCTGGGCTGCCTGCTCGCCCCCCACATCACCGTGGGGCCTGTGCCTGGTGCCCCATGGCATGGGACGACATGGCGAACATAGCAACACACACAAGGGAGAGACATGACATGACATGAGATGAGACACATGGCAACACCACCGTGCTGGGCTGCCTGCTCGCCCCCCACATCACCGTGCGACCCGTGCCTGGTGGTGGGGCAAGAGATGGCACGGCATGCCAGGGTACACATGACATAACACACCAGTGAGCGACATGACATGACATGAGACACATGGCAACACCACCGTGCTGGGCTGCCTGCTCGCCCCCCACATCACCATGGGGCCTGTGGCTGGTGGTGGTGGGGCATGGCATGGCATGGCATGGCATGGCATGGCATGGCAGAACACACCAGGGAGAGACAAGAGATGAGACACATGGCATGGCATACAAGGGAGTAAGCATCACTGTGCTGGGTTGCCTGCTCGCCCCCCACATCACCGTGGGGCCTGTGCCTGGTGGTGGGGCATGGCATGGCACAGAGGGCAAAACACACAAGGGAGAGACATGACATGCCATGCCATGAGACACATGGCATGGCACTGGCAACACCACCGTGCTGGGCTGCCTGCTCGCCCCCCACATCACCGTGGGACCTGTGGGAGGGGTCCACGACAACAGGTTGAGCGCGTGCAGCATGCAAAGACACGACTTACCGTCCCCGTCCTTTATCAACTCTTATCCCACACGCACCGGTGGTGCCGCAGGAAGGCAGGGAGGGGTTTACGACCACAGGGTCGAGTGCATGCAGCAGAAGAGGAAGCGGAGAGGGGAGAAGCAGGAGTTGCAGAGACGCCTCACCCATCCTCACCTGTCCCCATCCCCACCCGCCCTTAACCCATCCCCACACTCACCAGTGGTGCCACAGGAAGGCAGGGAGGGGTCCACGACCACAGGGTCGAGTGCATGCAGCAGCCGGGCGGCATCTGCCACGTCATCGTCCGGCAACAGGACGACGGACTTGAGCGCTGCGGTGAGGAGAAGGACGAAACGCGCCGCCTGGTCCCGAGACAAGTGGTACGTCTGATTGCTGCAGTGGGTATGCACAGGGGCAGGAGTGTGTGTTGAAGAATGAGACATGGAGGGACGCAGAAGAAAAAAGCAAGGGAACAGCAAACAACATGTGTAGTGTAGGCGTAAGAAAAGGAGTGAGGGGAGAGAAAGGTGGATAGATGAAGGTGGTGCAAACAGCATGTGACTTTTTCACGTTGCAACATTGTATTGCGACGTGCGGTTAGCCCTGGAATCAGGCAACTCACAGCGCAACAGTCCACGGCACGTCGGCCGCCAGCTCAGTAGCAGACACCAGCTGCCGCCCGTCCCATAATGACGTGTACTTGCACTCGGGCACTTTCTGAGCAGCTTCCTCCCCGGCAAACAGCACGCAGAGGAAAGCAGCAAGTCGGGACCGAGAGGACGGGGAGAGGATGACAGGCGGGAGGATAGCGGGGGAGGAGGGGCGGGTGGAGCGACGAGAGGAGACACGAGAGGAGCGAGAGGAAGGAGACGGGGGAGAGGAAGAAGAGGAGGGAGAGGAGGGAGAGGTGGGAGAGGAGGGAGAGGAGGGAGGGGAGGGGTTGGCCCGGGGGGAGAAGAGGGGGGAGCCGACTAGGCAGTCGTCCTTGACAGCTGTGTACAGGGCTCGGGCGACTGCCACGTGGAGGCTCGTGATTCGCTGAGCGTTGGTGGAGCCGAGGTGGGTCCAGATGCTTGTGGCGTTGCCTGGAGGGGGGGAGCGTGGGGGATGGGGTGAGGGGAAGGGTGGTTAGGAGGTGCAGTCTTAAGTGTGCTCCTGTAGAATGGGCAGGGAGTGGTGGTGTGATGGGAAAAAACAATTGACACTAGCGCACTTCTTAAGTGCTTCAAAGTACAAAATCTCCAAGGCACCTAAAAAAAGGGCCGACTCTCATGCATTCTTACCCACCAGGCAAAGCAGCAAGCGAAGAGGCGACAGCAGCAGTAGCAGTGTCCTCTGCCAGACGTTTCCGGCCCTGGAGCCGAGCCTGCTGCCGAGCCTGGTGCCACGAAGAGGTTCGGCTGACAGCCTGTGCTGCCTGCTCCCAGAGGTTCCGAGCCTTCCTCTGAAGAAGGGGAAGGTGTGAGAATGGGTAGGAATGGGCGAGGAAAGGGGTGAGAAAGGTTGAGAAAGGAACCTAAGGAAGGTGTGAGAAAAGCAGAGGAGAAAAGAGAGGCATGGTTGTGACAGCAGCTGAGAAAAGGGCAGGGGGGGCAATATGGATGGAACACAACACAACTCAAGACGAAAGAGGCAAAGCAGAGATGACAGGAGGAGCAGGCGAGAAGGGTTATGGATAAGCGCGAGGATAAATGGAACGGGGAACCTGTATGTAGGGTATTCGCCTACCCCTGTGGTGAGCGTTGAGTTGGACGGATCTGAAAGAGCGCCGCGGGGCACGATGAGGAAAGACGACAAGGAGAGAGAAAGGGGAAAGTAGAGGAGAGCAGGAGAGTGATGAGGAGAGGAGACAATAGGGGAGGAGAGGCGAGGAGAAGGGAGAGGGGAGACGATTGCAGAGGATAGAAGGGGCGATGAGGAGAGGGGAGAAGGGAGAAGGGAGGAGGACAGGAGGGGAGAGGAGGGGAGAGGAGAGGAGAGGAAAGGAGACGAGCGAAGACAAGTGGAGAGGAGTGACAGCTAGAAGTTGCGAAAGAGTGCATATTCCTCATGCACATTCAGCCGTTTTTTCTCATCTTTCTTTTTCTTTTTCTCTCTTGGGGCAAACTCACACAAGCAAGAAAGGAAGTGAAAAAAGCGAGAGAGCAAGTGAGAGAGAGCACAAGAACGGTGGAGAGAGAGGATGAGAGAGCAAGCAAGAGAGCATGGAGGCTCACAGGAGCACTGGAAGCCTGCAAGGCTGTCTGCCGTGGCGTTGATGATCTGTTTGGCGAGAGGAGTAGAGGGGCATAGAGGGGCATAGAGGGGCATAGAGGGGCATAGAGGGGCATAGAGGGGCATGGAGGGGCATAGAGGGGCATGGAGGGGCATAGAGGGGCATGGAGGGGCATAGAGGGGCATAGAGGGGCATAGAGGGGCATAGAGGGGCATAGAGGGGCATAGAGGGGCATAGAGGGGCATAGAGGGGCATAGAGGGGCATAGAGGGGCATAGAGGGGCATAGAGGGGCATAGAGGGGCATGGAGGGGCATGGAGGCAGGGGCAGAGGCATGCCAATGAGGCACAGGGCGGATTTGAGGGGGCGTGGCAACATGGGCAAGGAGGGCTCAATGGGATGGTGGCAGTGGGATGGGAACGGACATGAAACGAGAGAGAGTGGGTGTGCTGTTGTAATAGAGTGAGCGAGTGAGGGATCGAGTTAATGCGAGGGACGAGCGATAAAGTTCCCTCGCAGCAGTACATTACATTCTACATCGCACGTCCGCACAAGAAACTGATGAGAAAGCCAGGAACTGCAGGGAGGAACAGGCCGAGGTGCATGTGCCATAGAGGGGACCAAGGAGACCTGTGAGCGAGGTGACTTATGCATTTTAACCCATGAGTCGACTCGAAACTCACTGACTTACCTCGGCGCAAGAGAAGTCACTAAAGGGCAGGAAGGGCAGGGAGGAGTTGTCGTTGCAGGCAGAGGCGCAGGTGACAAAGAGCGAGGAGAGGGCTGCAGGGGAGTACCCTCCCGCCCCACAGTAGTTGGCCAGACAGCCTGCGAAGCGCGAGCAGGCCTGCAGGCAGGTAGGAGAGGAGGAAGCGAGAAGGGGGGGAGAACTTGGGGACAAAGTGGGAGGAAGGGGCTGCAGGGGAGTACCCTCCGGCCCTACAGTAGCCGACCAGGCGGCCTGTAAAGCGGGGGCGGGCCTGCGGGTAGGTAGGAGAGGAGGGGGCGAGAACTTGGGGACAAAGAGCGAGGAGACAGCTGCAGGGGAGTACCCTCCGGCACCACAGTAGTTGGCCAGACAGCTCGCAAAGCGCGAGCAGGCCTGCAGGCAGGTGGGCAAAGGGAGAGGCGCAAAGAGAGGGGTGTGTAGGAAGGGTGTGTGAGAACGGGCATAAATCAAGGGGCATCTCTCACACATTCTCTCACTCACACTCACTTCCACTGGCATCACACTATCTCACACTGTCCCACACTCACTCACTCACCGATCGGCATTCGGACAAGGGAGTGAGGTCTGACGTTTGGCACCCTCCCCACGTCACCAGCACCTTCCCAATACCGCCAATACTGTCACCGCTGCCGCTGTTGCTGCTGCTGTTTCCGCTGCCGCTGCTGCCACCGCCAATACCAGCAGCAGCCACTGCAGCAGCAGCAAAAGCGGCATTTCTGCTGCCAGTGAGTCGGAGGGTGCCGGCAACGCCTCCCCCCGGCGCATTGAGCACGAGAGACCATGAGCCGTCTGGCAGTGCGAGTGTGACTTGCGTGTCCGATGCTAGCTCTGTGAACTGCTGGTCCTCTGCGTACCTGGTGAGTAACAAAGGGTGAAACGGGGTGAAAAGGTGTGAAAAGGGGTGAAAAGTGGTGCCGCGAACAGAGGGAGAAGTTGCAACATGTCTTGAAGAAGCGATCGTGAACTTGCATGTCCGATGCCAGCTCTGTGAACTGCTGATCCTCTGCGTACCTGGGAGAGAGGGGAGGCGTGCGAGGGGTGATAAACGAAAGATGGGTTGGGGAGAGCGGGCGGTGGTACGAGCAGAACGTAGAGAGAAGAGAGTGAGGGAATACCAGCAGAAGTGGGGAGGGAGGAGAGCTGGGTAGAAGCGCAGAGCAGAGAGGGGACAAATACCTGCAGGGTGGTGAGGGTGGAGAGGGGAGGGCGGAGACGGAGAGGCAGAGGGGAGTACTTACGAGCAGAGAGGGGCGGGAGCGTCGCGGCAGAGGTTTTTGGTGGAGGCAGCGGCATCAGTGGCAGAGGAGCACTGGCAGAGAGGCAAGGGCCGAGAGAAGTGCGAGCAGAGAAGGGAGCGCGGAGAGGGGAGGCCGGAAGGGCATACCAGCATAGAGGCGAGGGAGCATCGCGGCAGAGGTTCCAGGAGGAGGCAGCAGCATCAATGGCAGAATGGAAGTCGGTGGTGAGGTGCACTGTCACGCTGGTCACGGCTGCCAGGTCCCCACAGTCCGCCGAGCAGCCAAAACGACCGAAGGCTTCAAACTCCAAGGGGCGCTCGCAGATGCCGTTGCCGCAGGGAGGGTCCTTCCACACCACCTGGGAGAGGGGGGGGTTGAGGGGGAAGGGAGAGAGAATGGTCCACAGTTACAAGAATATGCTGTTTCATAGAATATACCAAGTCTCTGAAATCATGTTGGGTCATATCGACAATTGGATAGACACAGTCCTGTAAGATGCTGTTGTTGACTGATGTGTTTAAAAATCGCCTGAGCTGTTCTGAGGCGCCTCAGAATCTGTCTCATTTCATGTCGATCGCAGATCGGACACTCACTCACACACCTGTATGATGCTGTCGTTGATCCACGAGTAGAAGTCGTCTGGACTGTTCATGGTCATGGATGCTGCTGCCGTGTAGTCCTGAGAGTGAGTTGGCCATTAGAATGAAGGGTGGTGTGGGGGGTGGGGGGGAAGGGGGGAAGAAGGGGAGGAAGAGACAGGGAGGGTTGGACGCCTGATTTGGGTTCGCATGCACATGCGCACAGATGCTGCACACATACGCACACACCCATTCCCGTGTGTGCGTGCAACACTCATCCCTTCTACACACACCCACAACCCCACGCACTGGCGGCAGCAGCACGTTGTGTGCGGTGGTGACTTGGTAGCAGGTGGAGGCAACATGTGCACACCACATGCACACATCCACACCACCCGCCTTCCCCTCTCTCTCTCCAACACACACGCACGGGCGGCAGCAGCACGTTGTGGGCGGTGGTGACTTGGTAGCAGATGGAGGCGACATGTGCACATGCACACCACTCGCCTTACCCTTCCCCCCCCCCCACCCACACACCACACACACACACACGCACGGGCGGCAGCAGCACGTTGTGGGCGGTGGTGACTTGGTAGCAGATGGAGGCGTCGGCTTGCAGGTAGAGCACGGTGAGATAGAGGCAGGTGTAGCAGAGGAAGAAGAATAGATTCTTGAAGTTGTCCGTCAGCTCCCCCATGTGCTTCACCCGCTCGTACATGGCTGTGGAGGGGTTGGGGTGGGATGGGGGTGGAGAGAACAGGGAGGGGGAGAGAGAAAAGGAGGACGGTGAGGTAGAGGCACGTGTAGCAGAGGAAGAACAGGTGGTTCTTGAACAAGTTGTCGGTTGATTCTCCTATGTGCTTCACTCGTTCGTACATGGCTAAAGGGGGAGAGGGGAGGGGTTGAGAGAGGGGACAGCACGGTCAGGTGGAGGCATGTAGATTTACCTGGTCAAGAATGGGTACGGAATAGGTCTCGAAGGCACCTGCCAGCTGCACGCACCCTGAGTAACTTCCTGATCAAGCTTGGAGTCGACGCAACGCGCACATGACCGCTGCACACCCCGAATTGCCTCCTGATCAAGTTACGAGCAGACTCAAGAATCACCTGACCGCTACACGCACCCTGAATAACCTCCTGGTCGAGCTTCTCCCGCTGCTCCACCTCCTCGTTGTACCCATCCTCATCCCCCTCCCCGTCCCCCCCCGTCCCCCTCGCTCCCGCTCCCCCTGTCCGCGAACGACACCATGCCCCTGCGGCTGCGCGACGCCTTGAGGCTCCGCATGGCCGCCAGATTCACATCGCTGTCGTCTCGAATCGCGTCTTCTGCACCATCTTCCGAGTCGCCATCCTCCCCATCATCATCATCATCATCATCATCATCATCATCATCATCATCATCATCATCATCATCATCATCATCATCATCATCATCATCATCATCATCATCATCATCATCATCATCATCATCATCATCATCATCATCATCATCATCATCATCATCATCATCATCATCATCTGTATCCGTCTCCTCCTTCTCATCATCTGTATCCTCCTCCGTCCCGCCATCATCCCGCCCTCGCGGAGTTTGTCCGCCGTCGCGCGCGTCTCGCGGCGTTGTCGCGAGGCTCTCCCGCGGGGTGAACATGGCCTCGTGATCGTCATCGCAGTCTAAATACTCCCCGTCATCGTCGTCCTCGTTCTCGTCCTCCCGAAACGCGACGGCCAGCTTCCCTCGGCCATGGTGACGGTTTGGAGTGCTAGCAGACGTGGCATTCGCAGAACTTCCGGCGAGGTCCCTTCTGGATTGGCCCACACCTTCGGATCGTTCCCTTCTGGATTTGCCTACACCGTCGTTTCGTTCCGCGGCTGTTTCTGCGGCTTCGCGCGGCCTCTCCGCTGCGCCAGGGGGATGCCTGGCGGAAAACGGGAATGGCGGAACGGGACAGCGGGAAACAGACGAGGGTGCGTGGGAGAAGGAAAGCGCCGGCGAGACTTGGAATTGTAGACGGATAACGTATTGAAATGATTAACTCGAACGAGAACTTTCAGTCCTTGCATAACGAGTGTACTACGTACAGAGTGCGTGCAAGTAACCACTGCAAAGCAATGACGGTACACTCCTACCTAAATCTAGCAGACATGCGTGCGTGTTGATGCTGCCGGTCCTGGTTCTCCCTTCCCAGGTGTGAGAGACGTGACGCCTGGCCGACTGATGCTGGCGATAAGACGGCCGAGTTATGGTCACGCGGCGTGCCTGACGGCGACTGTGCGGAGCTAGTCGACTGGTTGTCGCGATGCCACCTCACCACAGTCGCTTCCGCCATGGATAGGTTTCAAGAAACGCACTAACTTAGCACTCGATTTGTAAAAGAGGCGCGCATTGTTGCGAGTCATACACACTTCTAGAGCCAGGGCGTCTAAAGTTTAGGACCGAACACAGCATGCGTTGTCTTCTCATCTCACCAGCTGATTTCTGGACACTGTTTGAAGTCCCTGGAGACTGCGGTGTGGTGTGTCTGGACCGTCGGGTTGCGCCAATTGCCGGGGATACAGCATGCGCGCCGAGCCACCGGATGTTATCGGTGCTTCCGCGCTCCAAGGACAGGCGGAAGTTGAAGGGAAAGGCAAGGCGAGGGGAAAGTGATGTCGGGGGAGGGTGCGCAGCGGGCACTGCGCAGCGCAGACCTGTATGGCTGGCGTGGCGGGGCGACAGCTGAGAGGTTGGCGGGGGAAGTGGGGTGTCTGGTGAGGGCAATGCCGAGCTGAGTATCCAGCCGCGCCTCGTTGGAAATCGGTGTGAAATTACGATGGGGAGGGCGTCGAGTTTATCCTTTCCCGCTATAAACTACTCGTTTTTTTGAAGGCATGTAATATGCTAAACAGCTGTGGTACTTCTGGTCTATACGTTTGCCAGCATCATTGTTACAATTGTCAACTAAACTGCTCATCTATGCAGGTTTCCACCTGGATAGATTACCTTCAGACAAATTTAATTGATGCTCTCAAGCTGTCAATCCTCGACAGCAACCGGGGTGAAAACTAAGCCTTAATACCTAGACAAGCTAGCGCCATGCGCGAGAGTTAGCGCTTGCTTGACTGATCAGTCGCTCTAGCTGGACCAGTAAAACAATCAGCATGGCGCACAGGATGACATGAGTTGGTTGTATCTTGGACAAGAACTTGTCAGCGTCACCCAGGGCCTGGTTGAGCACTTTCACCTGTGTAAAGACAGCCGGAGGGGGAATAAGGAGATTTGATGCTCTCAAGCTGTCAATCCTCGACAGCAACCGGGGTGAAAACTAAGCCTTAATATCTAGACAAGCTAGCGCCGTGCGCGAGAGTTAGCGCTTGCTTGACTGATCAGTCGCTCTAGCTGGACCAGTAAAACAATCAGCATGGCGCACAGGATGACATGAGTTGGTTGTATCTTGGACAAGAACTTGTCAGCGTCACCCAGGGTCTGGTTGAGCACTTTCACCTGTGTAAAGACAGCCGGAGGGGGAATAAGGAGATTTGGCTCAAACACACAATATATTAACATACAAACACAACTGACAGAAATATTAGCGGTACTGACCATGTTTCTGTGATACGGCCTGACATAACGCCATGCGCCTTCGTTTGGACGGAGACCAATCCGGACAAACAGGAGATATAGCTGCGAGAACTGGTATAAGGAGAAAACACCGGCGAACATCGCCAACGGCGGAGCAAGAAGAATCAGAATCGGCCACATGGCGCTATCCATCGTCGACGAATTATTGCTGCTGATTCGAACAAGACTGGAGAAGCGCTGCGTGCAGAGATCAAGGAGGTGGAACGCTGATTTACGAGAAAGCTGCAGACAGGAGGAGCACTTCGTGCAGAGAACAAGGAGGTGAACGCGAATTCAAGACCAAGCTGCAAATAAAGATCAGAATCTGGATTCTGGAGACTGCGGAGGGAGCGAAGAGCGGGTCTGGTACGAGATGCATGCAGGCTGTCATTATCAGGTCGGGGACTGTCCGAGAGATGTAGGGCGTGGAGGCCGAGTTGCGGTTTGGTTTGGGCACGAGATCAGGGCGTGAAACTCGAGCTATCTGCATGCTGTACGCCATCACCGATGGCTGTTCCCGACATGAGCTCGTTGTCAAATCGAGTAAAAGAAACGAGTTGTGTAATATTGTTGGTTATATGCTAGAAGTTGGTCATTTCCACAGCTTGTTACATGCTAAGCACATTGTCCTATGAACTAAGTGTTATAGTGAAACTCAGTATTTAAACTAATCAGGCGCAAATATTTAGAGGAATGCAGTTACTTGTCCAAACTTCAAGGTACATGCTGGGTCAAAGTAAAGGATGGAAACATCAAAGAGATTACAACCGGAAAACGGTGAACTCTGAAAAAGACACCACCTCACCTCACCTCATCCAACCAGCATGTCCATCTCCTCCTCTAGTCTTCCCTCCCTCGGTTTTGACCTGGTCAAGACATACCCGCACGACAACAGAGCCTTCACCCAGGCATGTTCGTTTCCGCCTCGTTGGCTCGTTTCCGCTGCAGCCCAATCGAATGCTCCTGGCTATCTGCTATCGGATGGTCTGGGTTCCCTTCCTCCTTTCTCCCCTCTCTCTCCAGTCAGGGTCTCGCCTCTCTCCGCTTCTCCCTCTTTCCCATCGCTATCCGCAGGGCCTGCTATACATGGATCATGAAGCGAGCGGGGGGAGGGGGAGCGGCGAGGGGGTGTTTTATGAGAGCACGGGGGAGTATGGGCGGGTGAGTGGGAGGATGTGCATGTGTGAGTGGGGCGCGCATGTATGAATGGATAGGGCGCCCAAGGGCGAAAGGGAACTTGACTGTGTGGCTGGTTTGGAGATAGGGGGATTCACATTACATCTGTCTAGGCGCTTGCAGTTGCAGAATCACTGTCCCTCTGTGTTCCCGTGGTCTTTGAGTCTTGACAGATCCGTCCCTCCAGCGTCAGCTTGTGTTTCAATCGATCCTTCACGACTGTCCCCTCTTGTCTCGGTCCCCCTTGCCCCTGTCCCCCTTTGTCCCCATTCCCCAGTGTTCCTGTTCCCCTTCTCCCCTTGCCCCTATCCTCCTTTGCCATGCACCCCCTCTTTCTTCCCGGGTGCAGTCGACAGTGAGGGAGGTGGATGTGGCCTCTGGTGAGGTATGCTGCATGGCATGGCATGGCATGGCATGGCGTGGCATGGCACGGGCATGACATAGAATGGCATGGCATGGCATGGCATGGAATGGCGTGGCGTGGCGTGGATGGTGTGGTGTGGTGTGGCACAGCATGGCATGGCATGGTATGGCGTGGCATGGCATAGCATGGCGTGGCATGGCATGGCATGGCGTGGCATGGTGTGGCATGGCATAGCAAGGCATGGCATGGTGAGGTTGCGGCATGCTCTCTACGCTACCATCTGTGGCACACAGATGCTGCAACACAGATGTTCCACGTTGTGCCATCGTGTTGCCCTCATGTAGGGTCCAGCTCAGTTTGCGTGTATTAAGCTTGGTGAAGGGCGGTATGGTATGGTCCTGCAGCAACGGCCACCTGACCTAACAGCTCCCACATTCTTTCCACTGCTCTGCCTGTCCCTTCTCCCGCTCGCTCTCGCATCCTCCCCAGGTGCTCAACAGCGTGCCTCAGAGTGATGACGTTTTTGGCGAGGGCCTTGCACTGCATGACAACAGGTACATTGCAGAAATGGCAGGTACAGTGCGTTATAGAATACACAGTCCGCTATAACAGCTACAGTGCATGTATAATGCATAACAGCAGGCACAAAGAACAGTGACGCACAAAGTGCAGCAGAACAGTAGTTGTTAATGCATCTTAATAATTACAGTGTATAGTAACGGGCAAAGTACGTAAGAACCGAGATGTACCAGCTGGTTTGGCGTGTGAGGTCACGCCTGGGGTGCGACAGAGAGAAGCCTTTAAGACCCCCCTGTACCGCTCTTTACCCCGTCAAACTCTGTGATTCTTCCTAACACCTCACTGTGCCCCTCTGAACCGCACAGGCTGTACCAGCTGGCATGGCGGGTGTGGAAAGGCCTGGTGTACGACCGAGACACACTACAACCACGGGGTGAGTATGATGGTGGGGGAGGGGGGGATAAGGGAGGGAGGGGGAGAGGGAGGACGCAGCTGTGGAAAGGGGGGGAGAGTGGGGTGTTAAGGGGTGATGAGTATGAAGAGTGGGTTGCTCTCGCATGCTTTCTTACCACAACAGCCATCCCATGCGCTCAAGCCATCCTAAGCGAGCCAGCCCATGCTATTCAACCGTGCCCTGATTCATCACGCCATGATATGCCATGATATGCCATGCTATCCGTCAGGTTGGTTCTTTCGCATTCCCCGACATCCCTCCTCCATTGTTCACTTCTCGCTGCTTCCAGGCAGCTTCCAGCACGGCATGGCGGACGGGTGGGGCCTATCTGTGCTCAACGAGTCAATCATGGTCGGCACAGACGGCTCATCCACGCTCTTCCACCTCGACTCCTCATCCTTGAAAGGTTAGATGAGGCGGGTTGTGATGCGCCTCGGAACTCGGACGAGTGGTGGCTGGCAGTGCTCAACGAGTTGGTCATGGTTGGCACTGATGGCTCCTCCACCCTCGTCCACCTCCACTCATAGCCCTTCAGAGCTTGCTCTCGCTCACTCCCTCCCCCACCCCCAACCCCCACTTCCCCGCTGACTCCCCCACCATCTCCTTTCTTGCGGTCTCCGCATTCCAGTCCTGGCGCAAGTGACAGTGAAAGGGAGGGGGAAGGCACATCCAAACCCGAGCTGGATTCCAACCAGTGCCCCCTTCCCCTTCCCCCTTCCCCTTCCCTTCTCCCGTTCCCCTTTACCCTTCCAGCCAAAGCACGGGTGACAGTGAAGGATGGCAAGAGGAGCATCCCGAATCTGAACGAGCTGGAGGTGGTGGGGGGGCTCGTGTGGGCCAACGTGTGGCTCTCCACCTGCCTCGCCGCCATCCACCCTGACACCGGCCGAGTGCTCGCATGGCTGGACCTCTCTTCCCTGCAGTGAGTCGGTTTTCCGTTAGGTAGCCTGTCAACAAAGCGTGTCCCTTTTCCACGTGGGCCTCTCCACCTGCCTCACCGCCATCCACCCCGACACCGTCAAAGTGCTTGCGTGGCTGGACCTCTCCTCTCTGCAGTGAGTCGCTGTTGTTGAGGCTGCACTGCGCCCACCACTCGCCTCGTGCTACTCATGGTAGCATTGCACAGTGCGCACTGGTTCCAGGCGTCACACACTGCCCATGTGCTTCCTCCCCCCCCCCGCCTCATCCCTGCAGGCGTCTAGCGCAAGCAAGATCAAACGAACTCAACGCACGTGTGAGTGGTCTGTAAGAATGGCCTCCGCTTAGATGGCCAGGTTTCACAGTTTTCCACGTCCTTAGCATGTTCGTTGATGCACATGGAACAAGCATTAGTGGGTTTGCTTTGCCAGGGTTGTCACCTAGGATGGCAAAGGCAAGTGCAGACCAGGTGAAGTGCATACGGCGGACTTTTGAGTCGACTCGAAAATCAAATGAAGTGCATATGGCGTGGCTTGTATGGTATGGGGCAAGGCACATTGGTGGAATTCTGATGGATGATGCACCTGTCTGACTGCTTCGTTGCTTCTGTCAGGAATTTGACGTGTTGAACGGGATCGCATGGGACGTCAAGCACAACCGTCTATTCGGTAAGAAGTTCATTTTGGTGTATGCATTGCATTCCTCTACTGTCTACACAGTTTGCTCGGCTGTCGCATCTCAACTTCCTTTCTCTTTCCCCCTCCTCTCCCAACTCTTCTCCCGCCCTCCCCTTCACTCTTGCTTGAGCTGCTCCTGTTTCATTGACATCCTCCCTGTTTTGCGTTTTTTTTGGCATTTGCAGTAACAGGAAAGTATTGGCCACTGATGTTCCAGATCATGCCAAGAATAGCCCCTCTAAAAGCTACTCCGAAAGAGCAAGCCGCGGAGTTGAAGAAAGTAAGAAAGGTGTGTCAGCCTGCAAGACAGTATTTCACATAGTAGGTTGGTTGTCGGTAGTACTCTGCCTTATGCAGCCTTTAATTATGCTAATTATTCCTAGCTTCGTGTCATCCAGTCTTTGTGTCATCCGAAATTGTGGGATCCTATCGGAAAGCCCAAAGCTCGAACTGCGAATTTTCTGATTGGATCCCACAATTTCGGATGACACAAAGACCGGATGACACGAAGTCAGGAATACGCCCTAACTTCCTATCATTGCTAGTCTCGTTGTGTATGCTTCGCATTTGATCAACAGAGTGCCTTGGAGATAGAGGTATGACTGCACTGCCCCCAATAGCCCCTCTTTGACCTTTGCCTGCGCTCCTCGGAGGGCCCCTTGTGCCTTTCTATGCCTGCCCACACTCTTGCAAGTCCCTCCTTAGCTGTACTCTTGCTTCCCTCTACTCAGACAACTGGCTCATTCTGCAGCACCCATGTGAAGTGCATTGAACAGAGCAGTAAAGACGTGCACCACCACCACACATGGTATACGGTTGTACGAGTCATTGCAGGGCTGTAACACACATGCTCAGGTGGAGGCAGGGGGGGGCTGTTGCACTGCCTTTACTGCGGTCTGCAGTGAATCACGCACCGTGCCTCCGGTAGCTAGCGATGCTGCCTTCTATCATCCCATATGCCAAGTCATACTGGGTTGCATACATACCGGTTCCAGTACCGTGAAACATTCCTCATCGCACAGTGCAGCACAACACCTCCTCCACCTGCTCCCAGAGACTGATTCAACCACACCATCATGGCTCACTCACGCTGCTTGCACTTCCACTTTGATTCAATAATAATGACATCAATATACAAAGAGGAGACAAGGCAACAGAATCCTATCAGAGGCAAGCGCAGGGCACCAGCACTCTTGTCGAACCGGGCCTGCCGAGCCTGCCGAGCCTGCCAGCTCAACAGGCAAAATTGGAAATCAGCCACCTCCTAGTCATCCACCCCACATGACAGCGCTGAACACCACACTACACTACACCAATCATGCTGCCGTGCCATGGCTCCTATGCATCTGTTACGGGTCAGCTTCTAACCATGCCCATCCATCTCCTCATCCATCTGTTCCCCATTCAAGCCCCCACTCCCCTCCTCCCCCCTCCTCTCATCCACTTCCACCCCCTCTCCCCTCCTCAGCTGTCCACCCTACACCAACCGCCCCCCATGCTTGTCTGTCATCATCCTGCTTCTTCTCCCCCCTCCTCAACGTCACCTCGCTCCGTCCAACCCACTCCACCCTACTGCACCCCGCCGCACCTATCTCTCCGTGCGCGCGGCTTCCGCGGGCAGCAGCAGCAGCGGGTCGACAGGCGACCCGTGCCGGTGAATCTCGAAGTGCAGGTGCGGTCCCGTCGAGTGCCCCGTGTTTCCCGACAGCGCGATCGCCTGCCCCTTCCCCACCGCCTCCCCTTTCCGCGCCACGAACCGGTTACAGTGCGCGTATAGCGACGAGTACCCCTTCCCGTGATCGACCACCACCACGTATCCGTACCCCTTCCGCCATCCCGCGAACGAGATTCGCCCCGCCTGCGCCGCAACCACCGGCGTATTCTCCTCAACGGCTATATCAATCCCCTTGTGGAATTTCTTGCGCGCCTCGCGCCACCCGTAGCGCGACGACAGCCATCCGCCGGTGACGGGGAGCCCGAACGGCCCCACCGTCGCCGCGATCCGGCTCCGCTGCGCGAAGATCCCGCCGGGTACGGCGGGGAACTCGGACGCGGAGGCGGCGGCGGCAGCGGACGCGAGCGGGTCGCCTCTGTGGCGGAGCCGCAGCGACGCGGGGTCGATAGCCGCGGTCGCCAGGGTGTTCAGCGCCGCCGACGCAGCGGCCGCCGCGCGTTGCGGCGCGGCGAGGATATGACCGTCCACGTAAACGGACTGGACATGGATTAGGGCCCAGGGGGAAAGGCAGGGACCAGGGGCGAGACAGAGAACATGGGCACGCCAGGGATCTTAGACGCGAATGGGGTGCAATGCAGTCGAAAATGAAGGACGAACGTTTCGTAAGGGAGAATGATAGGGTTTGGAAACAGTGACAGCCCGGGATCAGGTTCGGGTGAATACTCGCGCTCGGGCAACAAGGATCGGGTTAGGGTGACAGCAGCGCGGCTTACAGGTGGCAGCAGCGCCGCGAATTGCTCCTTGCTGACGTCCCTCTCCAGCCCCAGCGCGTGCGACACGATGCGACTCGTCAGGGTCGCCACCCCTCGACTTAATCGCCCGTGCGCCGCTGCCACTGAAAGTCACAGAGAAGCGGGAAATCGCGCGTGAGTGCGGGACGAACTGGCGATAAGAGTGCCACGTGGCAGAGGAGGAGTGTTACGAAGGGAGAGGGTTCAAGATTCGGAGAATAAAATGGTAACTTACGCTGGCGTAGAGGTTCGCCTTGCGCTCTCGTTAGAAGCTGCGTCGCCGCAGCGGATAATGCCGCCTGCGGGTCCTGCGAGAAAATAAAGAGACAAGGTCGTCAAGGGGAATGGGAATGAGGTTGAATGCGAGACGGACCAGAGCGGGTGTTATCACAACCTGGGATTCAGTGTTACATCAGACGTGGGATCTGAACCAGTATAGACTGATTCGTCACTGGTTACTCACCTTTAACGACGACGCGAGCTTCGTCTGCCTTTCGAGTTCCGTCAGTCGTCCATGCACGAAGCTCGCCGCTCCTGCGACCAGCCGGTGTTCCCTAAGTCGCGTCTCTACACTCTCGAAGCTTGTCTGGTTTCCAATCGAAAGGTTCCTAAGTCTACTAGCTATTCTACTAGTCGCGCTGACCGCCGGCTCGACGAGCAGCTCGAGGCTCGAGGATTTGGGCGGCCATTGGAACACGAGGACCGGTTTCCATCGCACCTGCTTCACGCGACACACCACCGTGATCTCGCCGCTCCGACCAATCACGAAGCTCGACCGAGCTTGCTCGTGCGGGTACCGCACGCAGACGTCGATCGCGGGCTCCGCGGCGCCCTCGCTCCTTCTGCACGCGCGGAGCGTGATCGGCGCGGCGTCATGCCTCGGCGACGATATTTGGTACGAAGTCGACATGTTGTTACAAATGCTAGATACGTGTCACGCAAATCTGCTGAAAAGCAAAACAATACAAGCAGCAAACGCAAAGCAAAGACTGGTAGGGATAGGATTTGTCAGAGAAGCAGTTAGCCGACAACCTACAGATCAGTGCCTAAACTTTCTATGATGATTAGGAGCGTGTTAGGCAGCTGCATATATAGCAATGAAATGGCGCCACTCACGGTCGTGGTTGGCTCTTATGATAGGAAATGGATGGTTGGTATGTGGTGGTTGTGCGACGATTCGACTCAGTGTATGTCGCATGAGTCGCGTGGGCCGCATAACAGCCATCACATGTGATCGCATTGATCGCAAGTATTGTGTCGGGTGGTTCGGCACCACAGCAACCTGCACATTTTTGAAATGACGAGCCTGCTGAGTGTGAAAATGGCGGGAAAGGTATGATGGGTCATGGATGTCGTGAGCAGTACAGTATCACATCCTGTTCTGTACATGAGAGTTTCGGCGGCCGCACAGTGCAGCAGATCCGCAAATTCATACCATGCAACGCTAGGTTTGGAAGCTGGTCGGTTCGGATGGATGAGATGAGTTGATGGGCTTCAAACTGCATCTGGGGAGGACCATCTTGGAGTGTGACAAATAGGAACGGCCAGCGGACGCAGATCTGTCCAAGCTGTCAGAAAGTAAACCCCTGACACGTGTAATGAGTTGTCCACTCCCGCGCTTACTGGGCAGGCGTCAGGCTGGAGGCTGAAAGAGAATGCAAGTATTTGGGGTGCAGCGGGTGCATAGAGTTTCACCATATAATTTAAAGCATCTTAAGTGAACATTGGATCATTGTAAATCGAGTATAGCAACAGAGAAGAATCTGGTTGCTTGTGGAGGTGGTGGACGACGTGGAAGGCCACAAGAGTATCTGCGTCACCACCATGGCAATCTCCATCATCAGTTTCTCCAGCGTGTCCCTCCCGTGCTTCCATGCACTGCCACGGCAGCTCACGCAGCACCGTCCTTCCACCTCACCCCACACTCCAAGGCACTGCCCATTCCCGCAAGCATCAAATTCCTCCCCCACCCCTCCCTTCCTGTCACCTGACCCTCAGCAAATTCGCTTTCACACGTTCAGCTTCGCGCAGCTATCCCAACTTACGGCCGCCATGTTGACGCTTCCTGTCGCCTCGGTCGAAACCTGCGCGTCCTTCGCCACCTCTCTTGCCACCAACGCCCGTAGCGTCGCTACCCGTCGCCTCGGCTCGGCGAATTTCCTTGGCGGGCATGAAGGCCTGCTCGCAGCCACTGTCGTGCCAGTCGCGTCCGTGAAGTCTTCTAGGGTTCGTCTCGCACTCCCTATCCTCCTCTCACTCGCCGCAACGTTACCGATCGCACGCTCTGAGCTGATTCTGCAGGAGGTGAATTTCCTTGTGACCCCCGTGTGTGAGATTATCCAAAGTTTGAATAGTGAGTTATTTCAATAAAATATGTGAAAATTCGATTAACCCCAGCCCTAATTGAATTCCTGCGTCTCTCCCCTCGCCTCCCTCAGCCGGTCACCACGGAATCGCTCTTTTCCTTCGCCGGGTGGGGCAAGCCAGCAGCGCCGATGGCGGCGGCAGGAGTGGCGCAGGAGCCGGATACGGACAACCCCGGCGCGGGGCTGCAGTTCGCCGAGTTCGGCGCTGGCTGCTTCTGGGGCGTCGAGCTCGCCTTCCAGCGGGTCCCGGGTGTTGCCAAGTAAGTGGTTGATTGGTATCGCTGGATGCTGTGCATGCTTGCGTTTGCAGGGCGTTGTTTTATTTTAAAAAACACTGAGTGGTTGGTTTCAGTGGGTCATTGCGATGTGATGAAGTTCGATGCTGGTGTGATACGATGCGGGGGATGTGCTTGGTCGTTTTCGCTCTGATGACTCCAATCATTTTTGAGCCATGTTTCGTCTTTGTGCGTGCAGGACGGAGGTGGGATACACGCAAGGCTTGAATGACCAGCCTACCTATGAGCAGGTAAGCGAGCATTTGCATTTGTTTTTAAAATACCTAGAGAACCTGATGGCAGGTAGGAAGCATGAGTGTGGAATCCTAGTGACCACATGAACAGAAACAAAACAATTTATGTGGGGTCCTAGTGACCTTACAACTAAACTGAATTATCTCCTTCCATCTGTCCCCAGGTGTGCTCTGGGCGCACAGGCCACGTGGAGGCGGTGAGAGTGGTGTATGACCCCAAGGAGGTCTCCTACGAGGGTCTGCTTGACGTGTTCTGGAACAGGCACAACCCCACCACGCTCAACCGCCAGGGTGGTGACACCGGCACACAGTATCGTTCAGGAATTTACGTCTTCTCCCCTGAGCAAGAGGAAATTGCTAAAAAGTCGCTGGAGGCGAGGCAGGCTCAGATTGGCAAGAAGATTGTGACAGAGATTATGCCTGCAAAGAAGTGGTATCCTGCTGAGAGCTACCATCAACAGTATCTTGCCAAGGGTGGGAGGTTTGGTTCGGGGCAATCAGCGGCCAAGGGATGCACAGATCCCATCAGGTGCTATGGCTAAGTTTAGACAGATCCCATTAGATCCCATCAGGTGCTTTTGTTAAGATGTAATGTAAGATATAATGTAGCATTTGGACTAAACTGCAGCTTTTTAATTGTCAAGTCAGCACTGATTATGCCCTTCTCTGAAGCCCACGTTCGTATCTAGTTACTAACAGTTCAAACAAAAGGTATGCTAACCATGTACCTGGGTCTAGTTCTGAAGGGTGGGGCGTAGTGGTGTTACTCGGATAGCACCTGGGCACAAGGTAGTGAAAACAGTTGAAAACATGTACCGGTATATATTGGATTTGTAATTTGGTACGTATCGGGTATAACATGCTTTCTGACCAGCCTTGTTCGCGCCTACCTCACACTCGTTTCGCGCCAAAGCTCTTTCCCAAACCAGTGTGCTAGCTTCGTGCGACAAACCCACAGCTTCTTCAAAGCAATTCCCTGTGCCCGCGAGGTTCGGGAGTCTTCTCGGCATCCTTTTTGTCTGGCCCCCCCAGTTCCCCCCTTCTCCCTGCTTTCTCGAGAATGGTTCGACTGCGCGAATACGATTCCAGATTCTGACACGCTTTTCCAGATTCTGGGCAGGTTTTCTGGCATCTTTTCCTCTGCGACTTTCCATAGGGACGAGTTCTGTTCTACGCATTAGCTTTCAGAACACATTAGCCTTTAGAATGTGCAGCATAGAGGCCGCGCGGCGTGACGAGAATCAGGACCTTCTAGTGCGTGACGCAGTTTTCTGGTCCAAATGCTTGTCCGTGGGTCCCGGTAACGGAACGAAGGTGCAGTTCCAAGCCGTGGTTTGGCTGGGATAGGTAGCTAGGTGAGGGGATAGGATTCGGGCAAATTTAAGTTTACGACGTTAGGCAGGCACGATGCAATCCGCAACTGCGATTAGCCAGGTGGCAGCACCTGGTTGGTGCGCCGGTCATGCCAAAGAGCCACCCAGAAGCCATGAGGCGAGTATCGATCGCGTGTCGTCAGCTCGCCACGTGGAAGCCGCGCTGCTGCGCTCCTTACACCTGCCGCAAATTCTCCGTTCCCTACAGCAACACACCCAGCCCTCGTTTGAGTCACCCTCACACGAGTCACATCGCTCCAAATCTCGACCGTCCGCCATTAAGATGTCAGCCGTGCTAGCTCAATTAGCTCTCCTCCAATCAGAACCGACGAACGGCCACAGGCAGCCTAAGTATGGCCCACTTATGCTGGTCCAGGATCCAGCTACATCCGAATTCCACGTCCTACCGCCCCAGGCGACTGTAGCAGCACCTACAGCTACGCCATGCCGCCCGCCACAAGCACCTTTAGCGATTGCCGATTCCGCTAGAGCCGCATCTGGCGGCGCAGAAAGCGGCGGGGGAGGCGGAGCAAGGGACAATAAGTTCTTGCGCGTGTCAATTCAGTCTGTTGCGCTCGCGTTGGCGTTCAGCGGAGCGGCGGCGTTTCTCCGCATGCTGCTGTCCGCGCTCCCCCCGGACTTCCTGTCGCGCTGGAAGAAGCTGTTTGCGGAGCAGCCTCACTTCGACCCCAAGACGGCCGTCGAAGCGCGCCGAGCCACCGCCATCTACGACTGCCACGGCGAATTAATCGCCACCGTCGTTCCCGGCGGGTTCGGCGGGCGGCGGAAGGACGCGAGCAAGGGGCAGGCGCCGTTAAAGCCGACGGAGGTGCCGGCGGTGATGTGGCAGGCGGTTATTGCGACGGAGGACCGACGGTTCTTCGAACACCAGGGGTTCGATCCCAAGGGTCTGACACGTGCCATTATGTCATTGGCGCGGACGGGAGGCGGGAGTACGATCACGCAGCAGGTGAGGGGTGGTGTGCGGGGAGGGCGGACGGGCAGGGCCGACGGGTAGGGCGGACGGGCAGGGCCGACGGGTAGGGCGGACGGGTGGGGCGGACGGGCACTGAAATTCCTAAAGAGAGAGTTAAGCATTTAAGGTACAATTGAACAAGGCGAAGCGTGGAATGTGGACAGTGAAGTGTAAGGGTGAAAGTGGCGTGCAGACGCTTGTTTCCCCCCCTGCACACCCGGGTAACCTGCAAGCTAATGCTGCTTGCTGTGGGCCTTCGCTCGTCGTTTCCCAACCTCCTCGCCCCCCTTCTGCTCCTCTGTCGAACGAGGACTGCACAATCTAACTCCTCCAGCCCTTGTTCCCCCACCCACCCGCCCTGCCACACGCCCCCCGCCGCCCCTCCCCCTTGAGCTGGTGAAGAAGGTGTGTGGGTTGAACGAGCGGCTGTGAGCTCACTCTCCTGCGCTTCTCCCCCGCCCACCCTGCCGCGTCTCCCCCTCCTCTTCCTTCCGCAACCTTCTCGCGCCCGCGTCTCGCCCCCCTCTCAGCTGGTGAAGAACGTGTTTCTGTCGAATGAGCGGCGGTGGACGCGCAAGCTGGTGGAGATTATACTGGCCGTGATTATAGAGAGGCGCATGACCAAGTGGGACATCCTGCACCTCTACCTCAATAAGGTCAGCCTCGTTGTAGGAACATATGTTAAGCACCTCAGAAACAAGCTGATGGAGATCAGAATGGTGCTGGTGATGGTAAGGTCAGCCTCGCTGGTGCCATGCTATTTCACGCCCCCTATTTCCCTCTTCTTCCTCTCGTCCTCCCACTCCCCCTCTCTCCCCTCCTCCCTCTCCCTCCCCTATTCCCTCTCCCCAAGTCTCGCTCACACTCCAGCTTGTGCTTTCCCGTTCCCATTAGCAAAGGATCTGAATTGCGTGTTTCTCATTTTCCCCATGACTTAGGTCGACTGGGGCCGCGTGCTGTCTGGAGGCTCCTTGCCTAATTGCTGTTTGTCTGGTTGCCTCCTGTCTGGGACCTGACGCGTGAAACCTGCTGCCTGCTGTCTGGGGCCACGAGGTGACGGGCCTGGACGCTCACTGCTCCTCTGCCCTTCTCCCTGGCTATTGCTCTGCTGCCTTACTCTTGTCACAGTGTGACGGGGCTGGAGACTCACTGTGGCTCTCTGCTTCTCTGTCTCTCTGTTGCTCTGCTCCCTGCTGTCTATCCGTTGTCTGTCGCCTGTAGATCTACTGGGGCCACGGCGTGACGGGGCTGGAGGCGGCATCGGCGCTCTACTTTGGAAAGCACCCGTCGCTGCTCACGCTGGGCGAGTGCGCCATGCTGGCTGGTATCATCCCCGCGCCCGAGCTCCTCTCGCCCTACCGCGACCCCTCCAGGTACCACCTGCACCAGGTGTCGCCTGCCCTCACAGGTACGACCTACCCGCAAGCACCTGTTGTTGCTCGCCTGCATGACAACCGCTCCAGTTATGACCTGCCCCTTTGTAGGTTTCGTTCCCCTGAATCACGGCCTGCCCTTGCGCGATGCCAAGCACAGCATTCGGAAGGCATCAGTAACACACTTCCCCGTTTCTCCTATCCCTCCCACCACTCCCTCTCTCCGCGTCTGCAGGGGCCGCAAGCCGCAGGCGCGCGCACTGAGGCGGATGGTTGAAGCTGGATTCCTGGACATCGCGACGGCCACGGAGGCCATGCAGCAGCCGCTGCGCCTGGGATCCGAGGCCAAGCACGGCACGTCGGGGCCGTGGCGAGCGCCCTTCTTTGTCAGCGAGGTGAGAGGTGTGCTGGGGAGGTGGGGGAGGGGGAGGGGGAGGGGGAGGGGGAGGGGGAGGGGGAGGGGGAGGTGGTTTGCAACCAGCCACTGCGGGTGGGGTGGGAGGGCAAGCATGGGGCGTGTGGGCTGTGGCGGGCGCGCTTCTCCGTCAGCGAGGTGCGGTGCAGGGAAAGGTGATGGTGAGGAGGTGGGGAGGGGCGAGAGGGAGGGGGGTTTCAGGTGCACACGACGCGGACCTCACTATGCTGGATGCGGAGGAGAAAGGTGGGTGGGGAATGGCACGTGTGAAGGTGGGTGGGGAATGGCACGTGTGAAGGTGGGTGGGGAATGGCACGTGTGAAGGTGGGTGGGGAATGGCACGTGTGAAGGTGGGTGGGGAATGGCACGTGTGAAGGTGGGTGGGGAATGGCACGTGTGAAGGTGGGTGGGGAATGGCACGTGTGAAGGTGGGTGGGGAATGGCACGTGTGAAGGTGGGTGGGGAATGGCACGTGTGAAGGTGGGTGGGGAATGGCACGTGTGAAGGTGGGTGGGGAATGGCACGTGTGAAGGTGGGTGGGGAATGGCACGTGTGAAGGTGGGTGGGGAATGGCACGTGTGAAGGTGGGTGGGGAATGGCACGTGTGAAGGTGGGTGGGGAATGGCACGTGTGAAGGTGGGTGGGGAATGGCACGTGTGAAGGTGGGTGGGGAATGGCACGTGTGAAGGTGGGTGGGGAATGGCACGTGTGAAGGTGGGTGGGGAATGGCACGTGTGAAGGTGGGTGGGGAATGGCACGTGTGAAGGTGGGTGGGGAATGGCACGTGTGAAGGTGGGTGGGGAATGGCACGTGTGAAGGTGGGTGGGGAATGGCACGTGTGAAGGTGGGTGGGGAATGGCACGTGTGAAGGTGGGTGGGGAATGGCACGTGTGAAGGTGGGTGGGGAATGGCACGTGTGAAGGTGGGTGGGGAATGGCACGTGTGAAGGTGGGTGGGGAATGGCACGTGTGAAGGTGGGTGGGGAATGGCACGTGTGAAGGTGGGTGGGGAATGGCACGTGTGAAGGTGGGTGGGGAATGGCACGTGTGAAGGTGGGTGGGGAATGGCACGTGTGAAGGTGGGTGGGGAATGGCACGTGTGAAGGTGGGTGGGGAATGGCACGTGTGAAGGTGGGTGGGGAATGGCACGTGTGAAGGTGGGTGGGGAATGGCACGTGTGAAGGTGGGTGGGGAATGGCACGTGTGAAGGTGGGTGGGGAATGGCACGTGTGAAGGTGGGTGGGGAATGGCACGTGTGAAGGTGGGTGGGGAATGGCACGTGTGAAGGTGGGTGGGGAATGGCACGTGTGAAGGTGGGTGGGGAATGGCACGTGTGAAGGTGGGTGAGGGAATGGCACGTGTGAAGGTGGGTGGGGAATGGCACGTGTGAAGGTGGGTGGGGAATGGCACGTGTGAAGGTGGGTGGGGAATGGCACGTGTGAAGGTGGGTGGGGAATGGCACGTGTGAAGGTGGGTGGGGAATGGCACGTGTGAAGGTGGGTGGGGAATGGCACGTGTGAAGGTGGGTGGGGAATGGCACGTGTGAAGGTGGGTGGGGAATGGCACGTGTGAAGGTGGGTGGGGAATGGCACGTGTGAAGGTGGGTGGGGAATGGCACGTGTGAAGGTGGGTGGGGAATGGCACGTGTGAAGGTGGGTGGGGAATGGCACGTGTGAAGGTGGGTGGGGAATGGCACGTGTGAAGGTGGGTGGGGAATGGCACGTGTGAAGGTGGGTGGGGAATGGCACGTGTGAAGGTGGGTGGGGAATGGCACGTGTGAAGGTGGGTGGGGAATGGCACGTGTGAAGGTGGGTGGGGAATGGCACGTGTGAAGGTGGGTGGGGAATGGCACGTGTGAAGGTGGGTGGGGAATGGCACGTGTGAAGGACGAGCCCTGAGTGGGTTGGAGCTCGCTCTGCCTCTCTTCCCTCCCTGCCCCCTCACGCCCATCCCCCTCTCCCTCACGGTCTCCGCCCACTCCCTCACGCCTTTCCCCTCCCCCCCACGCCCTTCCCCCCACCCCCCCCGCCCCACCCAGGTGTTATACGAGCTGGCGCAGAGGTACGGGCGGGAGGAGGTGGTGCGGGGCGGGCTGCAGGTGCACACGACCCTCGACCTGACGATGCAGGACGCGGGGGAGAAGGTGGTGGGGGACGGCACGCGCGAGTACGACCAGGAGAGGGAGGCGGCGGCACAGCGGGACATTGCGGCGATTGCCATGAAGCTGGAGGAGCTCAGGGGGAGGCGGCAGCAGCAGATACTCGCGACCGTGGCTGCTGCTGCTGTCAAGAGGTGCGTTGTGGTGAGAGAGGGAGGAGTGGAAGAGAAATGAGAGAGAAATGGGATAGGGGAGAGGAGTTGGTGGGAGTGGGAAAGGAGTGGGTGGGAAAGAAGGGAGTGAGACGAGAGAGGGAAGGGGGATGGGAGGGGGGCTGTGGATTGAAGATAGAAGCCGTTTTGCTGGATGTCTTTTGCCATGTATCATCTCACTCGTGTGTTTCACCATGTGCCTGTACATGCCTCACACATGCCTCACACATGCCTCACACATGCCTCACATATGCCTCACACATGCGTCCACATGCAGGTCAGCAGAGTTCCGTAAGAAAAACGGGCAGACACAAAAGACGTGAGTCCTCTCCCGCTCCACGCTCTGTCCTCCAACCCACCTCGCCCACCCTCCTTGTCTCGCCCCTTTCTCCCACTTGTTCTTCGCCTGCTGCTCTCACCTCCCTCTCCTCCTCCCGCACCACTTTCAACTCCTTGCACTTTTAAGGCGCGCCAAGGTTTCCTTCCGGTTTCGCTTCCCTGTTGCTCACCTCTCTGCCGCCACCCGTCCATATCCGCTATGTTTCCACACTGCCATGCCTCTGAATCCATCGCTCCGCCTCATCCCTGTCCCCCTTCCCCTTCCGCTCCCCTTTCCTCTTCCCCTTCCCTCTCCCCTCCAACGTGTCGGAGGAGGTGGTGGCAGTGTCTGTCCGTGTGTGCCTGCATCCCCCCGTGCTCCATCTTCCCCGCTTCCCATTCCTTCCCCCTGTTCCCCCCCTTACCTGCCCCTGGTCTCCATCCCTCCCAGAGTGTCTGAGATGATGGCGGACGAGACGGCAGCCGTGGCGCGCACCCTCGAACGATTCGCAGCCATGTGAGTGGCGGAGAGTCAAGGAAAGGGGCCAGCGGGGGGGTGGGCATGGGATGAATGGTTGTATGTCTGTGCTGTGATGTGCAGCACCCATTACTCCGCCCGCTGCCTAGAATCCTCCAGCCCGTTCGCCTCCCATCCACCAAGGAACCCTTGTGCTTCCACCCTTCGCCGTCTGATTTCTCATGCCTTGTCCTCCCCTTCCCATTGCACCTCTTTTTCCCTCCCCTCTGGTGGCCTCAGGGAGCGCACGCTGACAACTGCCATGCAGCGCTACGAGAACGAGCTCAGGAGCGCTCAGGCCGCCAGGTGGGACGAGGGGGGGGGATGAGAGGAAAGGGGGAATGGGAGGAGGGGGTGGGGGTGGAAGAAATGAGAAGGCGGATTGGCTTCTGTGGTGCGGGGTGCGTGGGGAGAAAGAGATGGGAATAAGGGAGCTGGTTAAGGGGAGCAAGGGAGGGGAGGGGGTGGGGGGAGCATGAGATTGTTTCATGGTATGTTGTCATGCAAGTCATGAAGGCAAAGCCACCCATGGTGTGTTTCAACTCCACTCAGGAAGCCACGCCTCACTGAACAAGCCTGCATGGTTACGTTCTTCTTCGTGGGCCGTGGGGCAATGGGGGGACGATTTTGAGAATTCTCGAATCAGCCTAAAACAAAATGGGCAGTGCGGAGATGTCTTCCTCGTGTGTTGCCCGTCTCCCTACCTCTCCATCTCCCCACCCCATCTGCCTGGTGTCTTGAGGCAGGCTAGAAGGAGCCATGGTGGCAATGGATCCTCTCTCGGGCGCGGTGAGGGTGCTGGTGGGCGGGCGCGACTACTACGAGAGCTGCTTCAACCCTTGACAGGCCCTCGTGTGTTGTCATCCCCCCCCATTCTCCCATGGTGTGCACCGTGCAGGCTGGAAGGGGCAATGGTGGCCATGGACCCGCTCTCTGGCGCGGTGAGGGTGCTGGTGGGCGGGCGCGACTACTACGAGAGCTGCTTCAACCGCGCCACCCAGGCTCTCCGTCCCCCCGGCTCCACCTTCAAGCCCGTCGTCTACCTCACTGCGCTCGCCGAGGGCATGTGAGCAATGGTTGAGCTTTGGGGTTTGCGGGGTTCAGGGGTTCAGATTATGGGCTTTTGGGGGAGTGGTGGGGGATGAGGGACGACCCAAGTCCATGCGCGAGCCCGACCGCTGCCTCACTGCACTGGTGTTTGGCTCTGGGGTAAGCTGTGTGCCTGGGGTTTTCGTGGGGGGTTGGGGCTCTGGGATTTGCTGGGGAACGTGCGGTGCCGTGCAAGTTGTGTGCCGATGGTGCGTGCGGGGATTCGCTGCACCTCCATGCCCTCATCCCCCCACTCTCCCCCGCTCTGCCTCCCCCCTCCTCTCAGCACCAAGGACTATATGCTAAGTGGACAAGCCGTATGAGGTGGGGGGGTTCACAGGTAGCGGCCATATCTTCACACCCTCTACTCGCTCGCCCTCTATCCTTTCCCCACCTCCCTCCCCTCCTCGCAGCACCAAGGACTACGTGCTGGTGGACGAGCCATACGAGGTGGGGGGGTTCGCCCCAGTTCCCGTCTTGCTGCACCTCCGTGCCCTCATCCCCCCACTCTCCCCCGCCCTGCCCCTCCCCCACCTCCCAGCACCAAGGATTATGTCCTAATTGATGAGCCATACGAGGTGGGGGGGTTCGCCCCGGAGAACTACGACCGCAAGTTCCGCGGGCCCGTCACGCTGGAGGAGTCGCTGCTCAAGTCGCTCAACGTGCCCACCGTCAAGCTCTGCGCTGAGATCGGCGTTGACAAGGTGGGAGAGAGGAGAGTTGACAAGGTGTGTTGCCTGAAAGTGCTCGTGTGAGCTACTCGCTCGTAAGCCCATCCACTCATCAAGTCGCTCAACGTGCCCACCGTCAAGCTTTGTGCTGAGATTAGTGTTGATAAGATGAGAGAGGAGAGGGGAAGGTGTGTTGCCTGAAGGCGCTCGTGTCAGCTGCTCGCACGAAAGCTCGTCTGCTGCTCAACATGTGAAGCGCACTGTGAAGGCCATCCCCCTTTATCCCTATTCCGTTCCTCCTTCCTCCTCCTCCCTCACCCCTCCCCTTCCCCCTCACCTTCCACTTCCCCCCATGGCGTTCCCCCCCAGGTGTGCCACATGGGGCGGGCACTGGGCATCAAGACGCCGCTACCGCACGAGCTGGCGCTCTCACTGGGCGGATGTGAGGTGACGCCGCTGCAGCTCACCACCGTCTACTGCACCATCGCTGCTGGGGGCATCTACCACCGCCCGCATCTGATCACCCGCGTGGAGTCGCACAACGGAAGAGTGCTGGAAGAAGCTAAGGTGAGCTTCCTGTCGTTGCTGGTTTTCTGGACTGGTGGAGTCAAGAGGTGACGCCCTGCAGCTCACCACGGTGTACTGCACAATCGCAGCAGGGGGCAGCTACCACCGCCCGCACCTTATCACCCGCGTCGAGTCGTACAATGGAAGGGTGCTGGAAGAAGCCAAGGTGAGGGGGAGGGAGAGGGTGAGTTGCCTGTCCTCGATGGTTGTCTGCAGGAATGATAAAGGTGACGCCCCTGCCGCTCACCACCGTCAACTGCACCACCGTGGAGGGCAGAGACCCGGTAGTCAATGAAGCCGCGTTGCGTTGAGGCACCTATAACGTGTCTCGTGCGTGCACCCCACTCCTGCTCCATCCCCCCACCCTCCCCTGTCCAAGCAGGTGTGCATGGAGCGCAGGGACCCGGTGGTGGACGAGGCAGCAGTGGGCGAGTTGAGGAAGCTGCTGCAGGCCGTGGTGGAGAGGGGCACCGGCAAGGGGGCGCGCATGGACCGCCCGTGTGCCGGCAAGACTGGCACGTCTGATGGCCACCGCGACTGCTGGTTCGCTGGATTCACCCCGCAGCTGGCGTGTGTGGTGAGTGGTGGGATCTTGTACGATCTTCAGACACGATTGTCAAAGAGCAGCAGTAGCCAAACCGAGGTGAAAGCAAACGAGAAAGAGGGGCAAAAGACTCGCGTTGCACAACCAAGTGCTGAGAGTGGTCTCGGATTCCAGTTCTGTTGATGCCCACCGCGACTGCTGGTTCACTAGGTTCACTAGGTTCACTCCGCAGCTGGCGTGCGCCGATGGGTGACCTGCACCCGGCGATACCAGCAGATGCACATCTCCTTCTCACATGCCCCCTCACCTGCCCTCTCCTCCCTGCCAGGAGAGGCTGAGGTGCGACGAGACGAACCATGGTTAGTGGGAGGCCTGCACCCTGACACCAACCTGCTCGCTCCCCTTTTGCCATGTTTATGTGCCTCGAGAATCTCTCGTACCTTGTCCCCACCTCAATCGCTCTTCATGCCCAACCCCCTGCTGCCCTCTCCTCCCCCCCAGGTATGGCTGGGCTACGACAATAACGAGCCACTGGCAGGGCTGCACCCCAGCACCCGCTCATCCCCTTGCTCCATGTCCCCAACCCTGCACCTTTGCTTCCTTCCCTCTCCTCCATGCCAGGTATGGCTGGGCTACGACGACAACAGGCCGGTGAGTGGCCTTTATCCTGGCACCGGCTCACCTCGCTCGAATGGTCCTTCATCAAGCAGAACAGGCACCGGCTCACCTCCCTCTCACTCCTACCCTGCACCACCCCGGCACTGCCTCACCACCCTCCACCCATCCCCACCCCTCCTGCCGTTTCCTCCTCCCTTCCAGGTATGGCTGGGCTACGACGACAACTTGCCAGTGGGAGGGCTGCACCCCGGCACCGGTTCCAGCCACGCAGCACCGCTCTGGAGCCGCTTCATGACCCTCGCCCACGAGGGGCTGCCCGTGAAAAAGATTCTCGACCCTGCCCGGGACAGGTACACTGGGCGGGCAGCGGGGAGGGAGTTTCAGAAGCGGAGCCGGCGCGCTCAGAAGGTGGGGTTGAGTGAGATGCGGAAGAGGGAGGGTGGGAGGAGGAAGGGAGGGAGAGAGGTGGTGTGGAAAGACGTGTGGGATTGGGAGAAGGCGAGTAGTGGGTGGCAGGAGAGGGAGAAGATGGAGGAGTGGGCAGCAGCGAGAAGAGAGAGGGCTGAGGAGATTCGGGCTTTAAGGGCCAAATGGGGATGGCTGCCGTTTGTGAAGGGGACTAAGGGGGCAGGAGGGGAGGGAGGAGGGGAGTCGCCGGGGAGAGGGTTGCTGGGGGACGAAGGGGAGGAGGTGGGGGAGGATGATTACGAGGATGCGTTGCGGTTCTTTGAGCGGGCGAATCAGGAGGAGGGGCAGGGTGGGAGGAGGGGTGGGGAGAGGGGAGGGGAGAGGGGTGGAGAGAGGGAGGGGGCGACAGGGAGGGGCATTTCTGCAGCGGCAATGGCTGCTGCTAAGTGGGGCGCAGGGGGGAGAGGAGGGGGCGTGGAGAAGCGAGGGGGGAGCGGGGAGACAGGAGCAGAGAGGCGAGTGGACGAGGAAATGGGGAGGAGGTGGAGTGCGGAGGAGGGAGTGGAGGGGGAGGACGAGGAGGAGAGTGAGGTTTGTGCGAGGGATGGGGAGGGGGATGATGAGGATGGGTTGTGGGAGGAGGGGGAGGGAGAGGAGGAGGAGGAGGAGGAGGAGGAGGAGGAGGAGGAGGAGGAGGAGGAGGAGGAGGAGGAGGAGGAGGAGGAGGAGGAGGAGGAGGAGGAGGAGGCACCAGAGGAGGTTTTGGCTCGGATGCAGGAGAGGCTGGAGGAGCAGTTTGGGGTGCGACTGGTGGAGGCTGTATTTGAGAGGCGAGAGGGGGGTGGGGGGAGGGAGGGTGATTCGAAGGGGAGGGGAGAGGGGCCTGGTGGGGCAGCAGGAGTGGGGGTTGGGGGAGAGCGTACGGGCGGTAGGAGAGAAGGCGTGAGTGTGGAGGCAGGTGGGAGTGGCGAGGGTGCATTGTATGAGGCAGTGGCGATGCCGTCTGTACGAGCATCAGCCACACCTCCTTCCGCATCTCTGGGAGGATTGACGTGGAGTGAGCGCGTGGCGTCTGCACAAAAGCAGCAACTAGAGCTACAGCAGCAGCAACAGCAGATACAGCAACAGATACAGCAGCAGCTTGCAGCTGTCTCCACCACCTCAGATCCAGCCGAGCCTCGTGCCGAACCTCAACTTCCTTACGCCGAACCTCAAGGGTCCCGTACCAAGCCTCAGGTGCCTCGCTCTGCAGCCCAAACCTCCGTTGCTGAGAACCAGGCAGCGCCTGCAGCAGCAACGGCGGCAGCAGAGGAGCAGAGAGAGGTTGTGAGTGCGAAGTTCTTCACAGCAGTGGATTCGGAATCAGCCGCGCCTGACATCTCTCCGCTGCAGCCGTGGCCTGAGAAGCAGGGTGACGGGGCGGAGGGGGGAGGGGAGATGGAGGCGTGCTGCCCCATGCCGCCATGCACGGGCCTGCTCCCGGCCTGTAGGGAGCCGTCACTGGAAGGGAGTGCAGATGCTGAGAGAGGTGAGGTGGGTGAGAGGGAGCTTGAGGAAGAGGACGAGGAGAAGCGGCTGGGGTGGACCAAGCGGCTGTTTGTGAAGACCAGGGTCACGACTCCGGGCGGCGCGCCCCTACCCCTGTCTTCGTCTGGATCTGCTGCCTACTCAGCCTATACTGCTGCCACTGCCACAGCAACAACAGGGAGAGGCTTCTCACAGGAAGATCCTGGGCAACGCGAGGTATCTTCCCCTCCTCTCGTCCCATCCCCCTCCTCCTTGGGACCTCCGTCGTCGCTAGCCCCCTCGGTCCAGGCCCCATTGGTCCCTGGAAGGTATGGTGCTCATGCCAGCAGCGTGCCTGACAGCTCAGCAGGCATGTGGGGGAGTGCAGTGCCGTGGCGGCAGCAGAAGGGAGCTGGGTTGGGCCCTGATGCTCCAAGGGACAGGGCAGTAGGGTCGCCTGCTTTGTTCGGCAGGTTTGGTGGAACTAGTCGGACAGGTCACAGGTAGGACGTAGGTATAAATCAACATTACGTATTATATTGATAAATCAAATCAGGGGTGATGCGAGTTTGGTTAATGACTTGGGTTGGATAGAGAAAAACAATTTGAAGTGGTGTTCTTGGCACTTTCTATACGCATTATAGATACTGTCCAGCCTGCTTTTATGAGTGTTTCGCGTACGGGTTGACCTGACCACCCCAGCCCAGACTCAAACTTACGGGTCTGACACGAACCCCGTAAACGTAATACGTTCTGTACCGCTGGTCAAAGTACAATTGATGGGAACTCCAGCTGGTGTACTACACGTACAGCCTGGAAATGGTTCGTAGGGACCCATTTCGACAAGGACGTCGTCGAGCCCAACGTAAATTCTGCGTGTCGCGATCTAACCGCCGAGGGGCTATCCGTGAGAACAGTGCTCGATACGAGCAAATGCCAGCAAAATGTGGACAGCCAATGCATTGGTGGCATTGTATGTACAGAAACGAAACGAGAAATTCAGGCAATGAGAAGCTACTACGACATCGGGCGGCTCTCAGTCTTTGTCTCTTGACAATTTGAGGCCCGCGGAAGTGCATTTTCCACATGTGTATTTTCGCGTTCAATTCCTTAGTCTCGCGGTTCTTGCGGTTGTTGCTTCCAAACGTCTGGAACCTGAAATTTGGGAGGGAAATAACTTCACAAAGAGTGTTGGTGCTTAGGGTCAATGCTTCCCGATGGGCATGCCATTGGAGAGGGGCTAGTTGTTTTGCCCCGGGTAATGTACATCTTGCTGTTTTGCTTCCAATATGTCTTGGTGATGGAATGATTCACACAGACCAAGTATGATGTCTGTACGACAAGAAGGTTCTCCCAACGAACTCGTGTCATCACATCAACAGATGAAAAAATGCAGTAAGAACTATTGTTTTATTTGATATAGAATTATGCTCTGGATAGCGGTGTTCTTACTGGTTTCGATACTTGCGTAATCAGTGTTCTCTTCTGTGGTTGAGTCCTTGTTTTTCTTTTATGGCTTCAGTTGATTTGAACAGATACATTTCCCTTGCCTGACCCCTGGGGAAGCTTGAACCTGCCCGATAAATACACTTCATCCGACAACTGCCGCATCCTACGTGACAGCCTGGAGTTGGAAAATCTAGAAGCTGGTGGCGGCTCCATTCACACCACAGAAATGGCATTGTGTCGTCACCCCGTGTTTGCACCACGCCAAACAGACCGACGATTTTCCGACAATTACACAAACGACAGAAGAGCTGACATGGCGTGTCTCGCTACGGAATGGATATTGTTGGGTCGGTGATCGATCGAGCCCTTGGTTGGCAGGATGTTTCCCCCATATTTATATAAGAATGAGGGTAGTCCCCGAGCTAGATTGTTGGGGATGGGTCGTCCCTCGATTGAACCGCATTCGTTCAGGTTTGTAAAAACTGGAAAACAAAAACACATCTTCGACATTGGCCCAAGCCACCGCTTGGTTGCCCAAAACTGGAGAGGCCTGTGTTCGACGTAAGTTCAGGAGCTGTGCACAGTGTTAGATAGATCGAACAGTGTTGTTCTGCGGGGTGCTTTTACGGGTATTTCATTTCATTTCTGTAGTTTTACGAAGCAGTTCGGTCCTTGCTTAGGACGCGTCCCCTGAAGCGGATCGGCCGAAGTTCGGCCGATCCGCACCGACCGTCATTTCGTGCCCAGGCTCGGTAGAGATCGGTGCCCAGGACTGCGCAACTACGGCGCACCGATACACAGGTGACAGGTTCGGTAAGGCAGGTTTCGGGGTTGAGGTACACGTAACCTGCAACAACAGCTAGGTTGTCGCGAGTAAAAATCGCACAGGGAAACCCACTCTATGCGACGTCGTGCAGTATCAATGCGACGACGAGCGAAGGAGATCGATTTTGACTGTCACTCGTGGCGCGAAATTCCACACCGCGCCAAGCAATCTCACGTTCGATATCTGCACTTCGCTACATCGATTGGGGCTCCCGTAATGACAGGTTCGTGGAACTTTGTTTACTGTACATTCGTAAACATTGGCGAGATCAGTTACCTTGTTGATTACGACGCTACAGCTCCTACCCCACGCGCAAGCCGATCTTCCAGCCGATCGATCCGCTTCAGGGGACGCGTCCTTACTGTACCAATGGACCATGATGGGGTGATCTTCGCGTGGTTGAAAGACAAAGAAGGCGCCGGTGGGAAAACCAGGGTGTTGTACGTAGAACAGCGTGAATGTCGTCGGTTACAGTCGCTGGACTGATGTCAGTTGTCATACGTGTTGTTTCTGCGACTTCCCGACATGACAGGGTAACGGAGGATGGCAAAGCCGGGAGGAGAGGGGGGAGGGGGAGTGGTTTGGGGAGGGAGAGGGGGCCTGATCGCGACGGGGAGAGGGAGGGAGGAAATTGGGAGCGGAAGGCGGAGTGATCGAAAGCGCAGATGTGTGAGGCGTGCCTGCACGGAACAGCAGTAGCACAGTGCAGCAGACGAGTCGTCACATGCATGGCAAGCAACCCTGTACGTCCTGTAGGACGAGGCAGCTGCATGCATATCGGATGCTCCTCGAATCGCGGTCGCACCCCAAATGCTTCTGTGGCTCTCGCCGCAGCTGCTTGGATGGGAAATTCGGCTTTTGATCTTCACACTTCTCTTCCACAAACCCCCCCGCCCTGTGGAATGAACCAGCGAGCCACAGTCCCTGTTTTTGCTCCCTCAGGAGGAACCCGAATCACACAACCAAGGATATTATGAACGAAGGCTCCTCATGCACACAGGTCTGAGCATCGTACAGCAGCATTCCCCTAGTCACACCCAAATGCTTATTGCTGTTCCCCTTCACAAAGCTCTGGAACGCAACCAGTCTGCTGATGCTCACAGATGCGCACGTGCTGAATCCACTAGACTCTCTCCTGCAACTTGAAAGTCCATTTCCTTGGAAGCAGTAGTCAGCTGGGTAACTAACATGGCCACCACTGACCGGCGTCCCGCTCTCTCAAGACGGTCCAGGTCGCATCAGAAGTCGCCGTCCACGGACTCGTTCCTCGCCGACTCGCTCTCGCGCTTCGTCGAAACCCTGGCCGAGAACGACCCTTCTTTTTCCTCGCTTCCCCCTCGCCACTCCCCGCGGAGCACCCTCTCCCCCATGTCCTCATCCTCTAGCACTCCTTCCGCCATGAGAGTTGGCCGCCGTTCCCTTGAAATTCCTAGCGACGCGGATTCGAGTTACGGATTCGGGTCTCCTCGAGACGTCCCAAGGCGCCTTGCGATGCGACTCCTTGTGGGCGACAGCGGCGGAGCGGTGGATGCGGCGACGACGAGGGTCCGCACGCCGGAAATGGGTGTTCCGCGGGGAAGCAGTGGAAGGTGTAGCGTGAATGCCCCAGGCACATACAGCCGCGAACTCAAAGCCGGCGAGATCTCGAGGGAGTTTTCTCTTCACGGAGAACCAGGTCGCGAGGAACCGCAGAGCCGTAACGGCGGCTCCAAGGCAATGTTCCGCAGCATTAGCGAGCACGTGGGTCCAGATACGACAACCCCCTTCTCCCCCGTTTCCCCCGCTACCTCCGCGTCCTCCCCCAATGGGAGTCACCGGAACGCGTCGTCCCGAGCCCGCTACCTGTCGCGCGTCGGGGCGTCGGAGCCGTTGGAACGCACCCTCCCCCGCAAAAGCCGCTTGAACGGCGAGGACGACACTGACGCTGGACCAGCGACGACGGGCCGCGACGGGACGGACGTGGAGGAGGATTCGTCGGACGCGTCGGTGTCCATGCGGCGCCTGGGCCGCGAGATGAACGAGCTGAGGAAACAACTCGAGCGCTGCGCCAAGATTAATAAATGGCTCACTGGTAAGTCGCCGTGATGCTGCATTTTCCGTTCTAAGAGCTCGAAATTGTGAAGTCATTCCGCGCGTTTTCATTTCACTTATCATGCTTCCCTCGAGATGGTTTCTTACCCCTCTTTTTTTCGCCTTTGCCCTGCCTTCTCTTCTCTTTGCAGAGTCGTTGCGTTCCGCGGAGCGCACCGCGGCGGAAGCCACGGCAGCCGCCCAGGTGGCCGAAGCGGAACGAGACCACGTGGCGAAGGAGCTGGAAGAGGTGTTGATTGCGTGGTCCCAAGCTGATAACGAGACGGCGGCGAAGCAGGAGGAGGAGCGCACGTCGACGGAACGAAGCCGCGCGTCGCTCGAGCGGGCGCGCGCGGTGTTGGCGCAAGAGAGGGAGGCGGTGGGGAGAGAGAGGGAGGAGGTGAGGAGGGAGCGGGAGGAGCTGAAGCGGGAGAGGGAAGCGCTGCAGAAAGATAAGGAGAGGAGCTCCAAGGACGCGGCGGAGCGGGCAGCACAAGAGGTGGAGATGGAGTGGAGCAAGCTGCAGCAGCAGGCGGAGAAGATGGGCTTGCGGCAGCACCAGCACCATCATGTGACTCCCGATGGTGTGCTTCTAAGGAGCGTGAGCATGAACAGCACGTGCAGCTGCCTGAGCAGCACGCGAAGCATCAGCGAGGCCAGGCCGAGCAACGAGGGAGCAACGAACCAACAGCCAAGCAAGAAGGGGGGGAGCAGGAGCAGCGGCAAAACCAAGAGCGGCGCGTCTGGTGGTCGTTGGTTGGCCTCGTCACAGTCGGAGAGCGACCTAGGCGCGTGTGCTTCCAGGTCGCGGGAGCACGCTCCGAGTGGGCTTCCGCACTCCGCGAGCGTGGGCGACTACGCGAATTCGTCGCAAAAGAGCGTCGGTTCTCCGCATGAACGCGTCGGTCAACTATGGGGTCTCGAGAGCCCTGGGGCTGGGGTTAGTCCCCGAACCAGCGCCCATTCGCCCCCATCCAGGAGCCCTCGCGGTAACAGCGGCGGTTACAGCAGCAGCAGTTTCAGTAGTGTAGGAAGTTACTCTTCAGTTTTGGACTATGGCGCTAGACCACCCAAGTCTCCTGGATTGCTGCAAGACCCAAGGATATCTGGGAGGCGTGTCAAGTTTTCTCTCATTGACTGATAACCGATGCAGTAGAGTAGGTGTGTGTGTGTGTGTGTTGTGTGTGTGTGTAGTGTGCGTGTGTGTTTGTGTGTCTCTGTTTACCGCATTTGTGTGCGTTTCCTGACGTACTCTCAAGTGAGACTCAAGCGTCCATTTTCTGCCCATGAAAGCTCTGGGGCAGAGCATTCTTGACAGATCCGTGCTTGTATTATAATATTTAAGTCAGCTTGAGGGAATGCAGAGCTTAGTTCCTCCTTGGTGGCTGTGCAATAGTAGTTTCCAGTCAACCCCCCTCATTCTGTTGTAATTGCACCTTGTTCTTTGATTAATATTGGTTTTCCAATGGAGGACTAAATAAAAAGTTCATCATGAACTGATATGGGAAATAATGAAATGCAATCAGTTTGTATGCTTCTAGTGCTTCACGGGCTGTCACTTTCGAGGTGGCGCTCCCTGGTCAGTTCAGCTTTCAATCAAAGCGGGCAGCCACAAGAACTTTGGGAGTAATGACAGCTCGTCATTACCGTATGTGATAAATTCTGCCAGTAACAACTGACAATTGGGATATGTACCCCGAGTGATAGAAGAGTGATGCATGATAATCTCAACGTTTTGTGACTGCCCGTATATATTGCCCTACGAGTTGTCTGCGGGTGGCGAGCGGGGAGAGTATAAAGGGGGAGGGGGATCGATGGGGAGGGGAGGGAGATGGAAGGCGGAAAGCCCAGAGAAGCGCAAGTGATCGAAGCGCAGCGACGAAGTGGAAGAAGTGCGATGGAGGCGCGACTTGCGAGTCGTCAGGGATGGCAAGCATCGCAGTGGCAGTTGCTTGCATTGCATTGCATTCGTCTTGCCGCAGCTGCATTCTTCTTACATTCTTCATACCTTTGTGATGCTATGCAACCCTCCCCCATCCCTCCCCACCCTACTAGTCTTGTCGAGCGAACCACCAAGCCACGTCAAGGGTGCTCATTTGGAGAAGATCTTGAATTTTGAGCTCAGCATTCTACAGCGCCGATTCGTCTCACCCTCTTCCAGTACGTTGTCGTTGTGCTGGTCCGCCTACTCGTAGCTTTGGCCGCTTCCTCCATGACCGATTCCACCGTTGGGCGCTGTGGCATTCAAATACATATTTTTACAGGGCAGCTGAGTAACTGACATGGCCACCATAGATCGGCGGTCTCCGATCAGGTCCCATCGCAAATCGTCGTCCACTGACTCGTTCCTCTCCGACTCGCTCTCTCGCTTTATCAAAACCCTCATCAGCGTTTCCGTTCCACCTCTCCACTCCCTGCGGAGCACGCTCTCCCCCATGTCGCCCCCCACTAGCACTCCTTCAGCCATGAAATCCAGCTGTCGTTCCCTTGAAATGATTCCGTGCGAAGCTGCTTCAAGTAACGGAACCGCGTCGCCTCGCGACCTCCCTAGTAGGCGCCTCGCGATGCGGCTCCTGGTGGGTGACAGAGGCGGGGTGGTGGACGCGGCGACGCCGAGAGTCCGCACGCCGGAAAAGGGTGCGTCGCAAGGAACCGGCGGTACCCGCGGCATGCACAGCCGTGAATCCAAGAGCCGCGATAACTGGTCGAGGGAGTTTCCTCTCCAAGCGGCAGATGCGGGTCGCGAATGGCCGCAGAGCCGTAAGCATGGTGGCGCAAAGGCGATGATCCGCAGCATTAGCGACCGCGTGGCACGCGACTCGGTGGGTCCGAACGCGACAATCCCAACCTCCCCCGCTTCCTCTACGTCCTCCGCTTCCTCCGCTTCCTCTGCTTCCTCTCCTAAAGCGATCCAGGGGAACGCATCGTCCCGAGGCCGACACCCATCGCGCGTCGCGGCGTCGGATCCGTTGGAACGCACTCTCCCCTGCAAAACCCGTTTGAACGACGACGACACGGCGACGACGGTCCGAAGTGAAGCGACGGATGGTGAGGAAGATTCGGACGCCGGGTCAGTGCCGATGCGACAGCTGCGACGCGAGATGGACGATCTGAGGACGCAGCTGGAGCGATGCGTGCGAATCAACAAATTGCTCTCCGGTGAGTCTGGATCATGGGGCTCGAGACGCGCTTTGGACGACTCAAAATCAGCGTCTAGAGTCAGTAAAGTCGATTATTGTGCAATCCTCTTGGGGTGATTTCTTACTCTTCGGTACTCGTGTCGTTTCTGTCTTGCTTTTCTCTGTGCAGAATCTTTGCGCTCAGCGGAGCGCACGGCGAATGAAGCCACAGCAGCCGCCCGCGTGTTAGCGTCGGAACGCGACGACTTGGTGAAGGAGCTGGAAGAGGTCCTGAAAGCGTGGTCCCAAGCTGATGACGTGGCAGCGGCAAAGCAAAAGGAGGAACGCGCAACAGCGCAAAGAACCCGAGTGTCGCTAGAGTGGACGCGAGCAGTGTTGGCACAAGAACGGGAGGCGGTGGGGAGGGAGCGGGAGGAGCTGAAGCGGGAGAGGGAAGCGCTGCAAAAAGATAAGGAGAGGATTGCCAAGGACGCGGCGAAACGGGCGGCGCAAGAGGTGCAAAGCGAGCGGAGAAAGCTGCAGCAGCAAGCAGGGATGATGGGCGTGCAGCAGCAGCAGCACCATGTGACTCCCGATGGTGTGCTTGTAAGGAGCGTCAGCATGAGCAGCACGTGCAACTGCCTCAACAGTACGAAAAGCAGTGCCGATACGAGGTCCAACAACGAGGCGGCAACGGACCAGCAGGCAAGCAAGCAGGGGGGAAGCAGGAGCAGCAGCAACATCAAGGTCGGTGCATCTGCTTCATGCAGGACCCCCTCCTGTCGGTCGGAGAGCAACCTCACTGCGTGTGCTTCCAGGGAACAGGAGCACGCGCTGACTGGGCTTCCGCACTCTGCGAGCGTAGGTGACTCCGGCCCATCGTCTCCAAAGAAAGTCACCTCGCCGAAAGAGCGCGTGGGTCGAATGTGGGTACTTGAGAGCTCCAGTGCGGCAGTGGCTCCTCCCCAAACTAGTGCTCCTTCCCCCCCATCTAGAAGCCCTCGCAGTACCAGTACAGCTGGTTACAGCAGCAGCAGCAGTTTTGGTAGCGTTGGGAGTTACTCTTCTGTTTTGGACTATGGTGCGAAGCCACCCATGTTTCCTGGATTGCTGCAAGACCCGAGGATGTCAGGGAGGCGTGTGAAGTTCTCACTCATCGAATAATGCTGCATACATGCTGGCGTGTGCCTCTGTGCTCGTATGTGTGAGGCCCCTGTGGTCTCCTCGTGAAGTGGACCAAAGCGAGTCTCCTCTTTCTGTGTATGGAAGCGAGGGGAAAGGGACACAGCGCTGGTACAGTATGCCATGTTGCAGTTATGTGATGCATTCTAAGGGTCCGCGCAAGATTTGCACATCTGAATTGCCTACAGTTCCATTCTGCAAACAAGTACTGTATCGACAGATGGATTGCTCAACTACTGAAGGCAGGTGTGGTATAGGAGTGCAAGGTGCAGCTGGGTAGGAGGTCTATCCCAGCCATCAGATCATGGAGAGGGCACATTAGGTTATAGGAAAGGCTGCGTGTTCAGGAACATGAACCCTGGATGTCAGGGTATGGATTAGCCAAACAGCATGTGAACATGGCACAATAGTTATTTGCTAGTTGCATTTATTGATTCTTCTAAATAGCATGAGCGTAGTACACTGCAGAAGTTCCAGAAATGTGCCATCATTCCGTCGCTTTCGAGGTGACCCAGCCTGACAATACCGTAGGAGGTTTCCCGCCATTCGTCACAGGTTTTCGAGCATTCTAGCCCAGCCCACCCAACAATTCTCTTTCAGCCAGAACTGCATGCGTTGCTCCTAGCATGTCCGTTCTAGTTTCGCTGTTTCCAGGAATGCGTGCGAGTTTTGACAGCCGATATTATTCATGTTTAAAGGATTGAGAGCTGCCCTGTTGAGTATCGCTATCTAGGTTGGGCTCATGGCAGCATATGTCCGCGAACGATGGAAGTCGCCTGCCGTTCCCCATGCGTTGGCCTGTCGTGCCGAGCCATTCACGGAGGCAGCATGCGACCTGAGCCTTGAGGTACAGAAAGAGCATGATACATGTATCGCAGCATGATGTCCGTTCGTACTCCTTTCGTCCCTGAAGCGTGACGTGGCTTCTCATTGAAATGCGTTCGTGCATTCAGGCCGATTTCCTCGCGTCTGTGGAGGCGGCGAAGCAGCTGAGTCCAGTACTAGCACCGCCGTACCAGCTGGTTCTCTACGGGTTGTACAAGCAGGCGACTGCAGGAAGCATCACTTCGTGTACGGCTTTCGTTCGTTTTGCATTTTGCGACCAATGTCTCGCTTCTAGGTTGTCAGTTGTTGAGACGTCTCAAATCTTCCTACGTAGTCAGTGTTCACTCACAGTAGTCGCGACTTGACATTTCTTCCGCTCATTCCGTCGTCGTCTACTCGCACATTTTGTTAGAAACGGAGCTGACGTTACCACGGATGGCTGTGCAGGTTCAGAAGATGACGTGGACACTGACGACCACGAGAAACTTCAGGCTTGGCGCGACTTCGCAGGTCAGCTTGCATCGCATCGAGAATCGCGAGCATGGCCCCTGAAGAGGGAGACTGCTGTGGATTCAAGCATGAATAGACGTCCATGATTGTGCCATTCCATCCATACCAGTCATGTCCTTCCTAACAATTTCTTTCGCCCTCCTGCAGGCCTCAGCATCGAGGTCGCTATGGTGAACTACGTTCAGAAGGTGAAGCAGTTCCAGATGCTCTTCTCGCCTTCTTCTTGAACAAGCTGGGCGCCTCATGAGCGTATTGCAGTCTGAAGTGCTGCTGTACTGCCATTACCGAGCCCAGTAGGGCAATTCTCATGCCATGCTGGAAGTGTCTTCATGTATATATGTAACATTGTTTGGTGCCTCCTTCACCTTTCCGTACCTGTAGGTAGCATGTGAAATGGTACATTCCCTCTCAACAATTCTTTAATAAAATACCGCCTTTCTACCCGGGGTTCGATGAGAGACCAGTCAAAAAGCCGGCAAAAAGCAGGCAATACTCATCCTGAAGATGCTGACTCCCAGCCCAAGTGTTGAACAGGACGTCGGGCAGCTGAAACTAAAAGGATGTCTGGCAGAGCGGGCAGGTGGACTTGTGGGAGGATTGGAACCACTGGTACAGGCACTCAGGATGGAACTTGTGCTTGCACGTGCGGCACTGCAGACGTGGCAGGCTGCCATTAGATGAGTGGATGACACTGTAGCAGATGGGGCAATCCTCCACCCCTTCAAACTTCTTCTCTGCACACTCGCACCACTGCACCACTGCATCTGCCACCGACCCCCCTCCCAGCAGCAGGAACGAGTTAGCCGCCAGCAGCCACTTACGCATCTCGGCCTCTTTCACACCTGCCCCTTTGGAACTTTCGACAGCTGCCCCTCGCAGCGGGTAGCTGTCGGGCAGTTTGATGACGAGCTCTAGCTTGGCCTCGTCCTTGCAGTACGCCGCCCACACCTCGCGCGCCGACCGCCTCGTGCGCACCGTCAGGTCCTCCTTGCTGCCACCCACCTTCTGCGCCTGGTGGGAGAAAGGCAGCAAGCAGCAGCAGCAGCAGAGGAGCGAATTGTGGGTGCACAGACTCAGGAAGGGAAGAAAAAAGCAATTCGGGGTAATGGGAGAGGCGAGGGGGGAAATGCATACTTGGGCGAGTTCGAGGGCGATCATGTGGGCGCTGCAGTATCGGGCAGTAAAGATGTCCATCCCCCGCCGCACTCCCTTCTCCCTCACATCCGCATACCACCGCCTCACCCCCCCTGGCACCACCCGCAGCGCCGCCCCAAACACCGCTGCTGCCAGGCTGCGCATGCGTGGCACCGATAATTTGCCTGCCCCGGGCAGGGTTAAAACTTCCAGTGCCACGTCCAGAGGTGAGGCCTGGGCAACTGCCCGTGTGGCAGAATCCCCAGCTTGAGCAACAGCGGGGGGAAGGGGTCCTGAGGGGTTGAGATGGATGAGGCGACGGGCAGCGGCGGAGGAGTGTGAGGGGGAGGGGGCGAGGAGGAGGTTTTGAGCAACGAGGTCGAGGAGGAGAGTGAGAGTGGGAGTGGCTTGGATGAAAGAGACGAGGCGGTCGCGAGGGGACGATGGCGATGCAGCAGAGGCGGTTGCGGTGGAGAGAGGCGGGGATGGGGGTGAGGCCGGGAGGGATTGGATGCGGTGCAGCACAAGGCATGCTGCCAGGTAGTACCGCACCCGCTGCGGTGACGTCAGAGCTGACGTCAGCAGCTCCTTCCGATTGGCTGGCTTCAGAATGTGTGCCAGCTCAGGTCTGACGCCATCACCAACTGGCTCTCCATGTGTCTCCCCTTCCCCTCCGCCCTTCACCACCCCTGAACCCACAGCAGCAGGCAATACCTGCTCTCTGGACAGACACCAGAATGCAGCCAATCGCACGCTGCCACCTGGCGACGGGCCACACATGAGTGCGTACAACCCTGCAATTGGCCCCCGCCCAGCCCCCCAGATCTCCGCCGCCCGCACCGCTGCTTCCACCGCCCGGGGCGGGGCGGCAAGCACTGCGCGCGACAGCTGGCGGAAGAAGAGTGGATGCTGCAGCCGCCAGGCTGTCATGGGCTGGCTGCTCTGAGCACTGCTGGCAGCACTGGTGGCGGCATTGCTGGCAGCACTGCTGTGAGGAAGGGCCGTCTCTGCGAGCCCGGTGGCAATGAAGATGCGCAAGGCGTGCTCCGACCCCTGCCGTACCACCGCTGCACTCGCCTCCGATGCCCACAGCGCGGACGGGGACGCCCATGCAGAGGCTGACGCCCACAGCGAGAAGATGCTGCTGGTGGTGGTGGCCGCGGGGCCAGCAGAGGCGTGGGAGTGGAGGGTGAGCAGCATGGAGAGCAGTGAGAGGGCAGCACCTGCCACGTCCAACGGCATGGCCTCCAGCCGCCCTGCCATGCCACTCGTCCTCCCTTGCTCATCATCACCTGCTTGCCTCTCACCTGCTTGCCTCTCACCTGCTTGCCTCTCACCTGCTTGCCTCTCACCTGCTTGCCTCTCACCTGCTTGCCTCTCACCTGCTTGCCTCTCACCTGCTTGCCTCTCACCTGCTTGCCTCTCACCTGCTTGCCTCTCACCTGCTTGCCTCTCACCTGCTTGCCTCTCACCTGCTTGCCTCTCACCTGCTTGCCTCTCACCTGCTTGCCTCTCACCTGCTTGCCTCTCACCTGCTTGCCTCTCACCTGCTTGCCTCTCACCTGCTTGCCTCTCACCTGCTTGCCTCTCACCTGCTTGCCTCTCACCTGCTTGCCTCTCACCTGCTTGCCTCTCACCTGCTTGCCTCTCACCTGCTTGCCTCTCACCTGCTTGCCTCTCACCTGCTTGCCTCTCACCTGCTTGCCTCTCACCTGCTTGCCTCTCACCTGCTTGCCTCTCACCTGCTTGCCTCTCACCTGCTTGCCTCTCACCTGCTTGCCTCTCACCTGCTTGCCTCTCACCTGCTTGCCTCTCACCTGCTTGCCTCTCACCTGCTTGCCTCTCACCTGCTTGCCTCTCACCTGCTTGCCTCTCACCTGCTTGCCTCTCACCTGCTTGCCTCTCACCTGCTTGCCTCTCACCTGCTTGCCTCTCACCTGCTTGCCTCTCACCTGCTTGCCTCTCACCTGCTTGCCTCTCACCTGCTTGCCTCTCACCTGCTTGCCTCTCACCTGCTTGCCTCTCACCTGCTTGCCTCTCACCTGCTTGCCTCTCACCTGCTTGCCTCTCACCTGCTTGCCTCTCACCTGCTTGCCTCTCACCTGCTTGCCTCTCACCTGCTTGCCTCTCACCTGCTTGCCTCTCACCTGCTTGCCTCTCACCTGCTTGCCTCTCACCTGCTTGCCTCTCACCTGCTTGCCTCTCACCTGCTTGCCTCTCACCTGCTTGCCTCTCACCTGCTTGCCTCTCACCTGCTTGCCTCTCACCTGCTTGCCTCTCACCTGCTTGCCTCTCACCTGCTTGCCTCTCACCTGCTTGCCTCTCACCTGCTTGCCTCTCACCTGCTTGCCTCTCACCTGCTTGCCTCTCACCTGCTTGCCTCTCACCTGCTTGCCTCTCACCTGCTTGCCTCTCACCTGCTTGCCTCTCACCTGCTTGCCTCTCACCTGCTTGCCTCTCACCTGCTTGCCTCTCACCTGCTTGCCTCTCACCTGCTTGCCTCTCACCTGCTT